ACACACATACACACAGACACACATACGCACAGATACATACACACAGACACACACACATACACACACACATACGCACAGACACACGCACACACCCACACACGCACACAGACACGCGCACACACCGATTCGCACACAAGGAGTGGGCACGCCTTATATAGCAGCAACAGCGAGTGGCGGACAGCGCCCATTATAAACAGCAAGTGCCGTGGCAGCCACTGCCGGGTCTGCTCGCGAACGCCACTGACGATGATGATGATGAAGAAGAAGCTATCGCTGCTGCAGACACAGCAGCAGCAACACAACAGCTGACTGGGCCACAACCAACAGCAGCAGCAGCAGCGAAGGGAAGAACACTAATCAGCAAGTCATTCAAGACCTTTGCCTCGGCACATCACGGCCACCTTACAGCGGTGATACTACAAAAGCTGAGAGAATCACCACCACCACCACCCGTAACGCAGGCGAACAGAAGAGCCGCACTACCCCACACTCAGCATAGACACAAGACCACACAGCGGCAACAGCAGCAGCTGCACTGCGCTAACAACAGCAAATAGAAGAACCACAGCGACGAGGGACATAGTTACAGTAACAACAAGAAGAAGCAGCAGCAGCACAACGCAGAAGCAAGATTGACGTGGCAGCATCGGCGACATCGGCCCAAGGAAGCCGGCACAAGCTCAGCCTGGGAAGAATATCATGAGCCTGGCTTGATTTAATAGGCGCTCGCTAACTACATTAGCCTCGATAGCAGACACACACACACACACACCCACCACTCACACACTACACACACACCATACACACACACACTCACACACACCACACCCACACACCACTCACACTCAAACACACACCCCCACACACAACCACACACACCACCCCACACACACCACTCGCACTCAAACACACACCACACACAGCACACCACACACAGCACAGCACACCACACACACACCCCCACAGCACACCACACACAGCACACCACACACAGCACACCACACACAGCACACACACAACACCACACACCACACACACACACACACCACCAAACGCACACACACCACCACACCACCACACACACACCACTCACACACCACACAACCCCACACACACCACACACACACACCACACACAACACCACATCACACCAACACACACACCACAACACACAAACCAACACACCCCACATCACACACCACACACACCACACACACACCACACACACACACCACACACAGCACACCCACTCACACCACACAACCACACCCACACCACCCCGCAGACCTGCAGGACCTGATTTTGGACGCTATTGCTGCCTGCTTCGTCGTCGTCAGCGGCAGCAGCAGCATGTCCTGGGGTTCTGAGGCTGCAGGAGAGTTGGTGGAGGAGGTGGAGGAGGATTGGTTCGGATGGAGATTTGGATTCAGGGGCGCACGAGGCGCTTCTGGAGCGGTCAGAGATACAGGTGAGGAAGGGGAGGGGGGCACTCACCCCCCCCCCCCCCAGTCGACGCGTGTTGAACGTGGGGGCAACGTTTGCAATGTTGTTGGAACCATTGCCCCAACGTTGGCCCGACGTTAAACCAACGTTGGCCTAACGTTGGGGAAACGTTGGCCCGACGTTAAACCAACGTTGGCCTAACGTTGGGGAAACGTTGGCCTAACGTAGCCCCAACGTTGGCCCGACGTTAAACCAACGTTAGCCTAACGTTGGGGCAACGTTGGCCTAACGTTGCCCCAACGTTGCCCCGACGTTAAACCAACGTTGGCCTAGCGTCGGGCCAACATTAGTCTAACGTTCGATGTTGACTGGGTGGGTGGGAGGTGCCTGGTGCTTGGTGTTACCCTCGGTGTTGGGTCCCTCGTCCCGTGTTGCTTCTCCCCGTCTGTGTCACTGGGCCCCAGGCTGCCACCGTGGGTCCCCTGGTGCCTTGGCACCGGACGATGCCGGGGCTCTACCATGGGATTTGCGAACTAGCTGTGGGAGAGGATTCATCTTCTTGGTTCTTTCGGTAAAGTCACGTAGAAGGGAAGTAATAAAATAATAAAAATAAAACATAATAAATTTTATTATGTTGAATTTTAATAATTTTATTACTTAAAACATAATACATTTATTATGTTTTATTTTTATTATTTTATTACTTCCCTTCTACGTGACTTTACCGAAAGAACCAAGAAGATGAATCCCTGCAGTCACGAAAGCTTTAAATCGAAATGTGGGAGAGGATCTTGACTTAAAAGCTTTCGTGACCGCAGGAAATCATATTCTGTGGGTCTTTCGGTAAAGTCACGGAGATCGGTTCAATTCTTTAATTTTTATTGATTTGAACCGATCTACGTGACTTTACCGAAGGAATCAAAAAAATATTTGACTGTGGGAGCTCTGGGTTTCGCACGTCCACGGGTTTAGATCCCTCGTTCTGGGGGTTCCTGAGCTCTTAATGTCTGGGGTTTTTTTTTCTATGGCCTCGGATTTTGAGTCCCCAGTCATTCTGATTTTGTGATTCTGTGTTTCTTGACTCAAGCCAGCTTCCGTGGTCTTAGATCGGCTGCCTTACGTCTCTGGATCTGTGTCTCTGGTTCTTGGGCCTGCCCAGTTAATCATGCAACGTGGCCCAACAGGGGTCCAACCTTCCACGTTGACCGGGGTGGGGATCTGGGTGCCCGGACGCGAGTTACGTTACTGCACGGCCCCGACAATTGCAACAAACAAACAAAACAATGTAGCTTGGGCGACGAATTTTCGCTTTTTACGATTCTACCGCGGGATTTGCGCAGAGGGCCGCATTGCCTCGATGCTCTCCCGTCACGTGCCCGTGCTGTGTTGCCGTTCTGTTGGTTTGTTGGACTTCTTTCGCCCGCCGCACGTAGCCAAACCGTACTCATCAGAGGTACGGGAACGCCCGTGTGTGCGTGTGTGTGCGCGCACGTGTGTGTCTGTCATTTGGTTCTGTGTGTGTAGAGGGGGGAGCGGTGGTGTAGGGGTTAGCGCGCTGCGCTACGAACCCGGCGACCCGGGTTCGATTCTCGCTCACGGACAATACCCAGTGACGATGATCTGAAACCGGTCCTGGGCCTCCCCTAGGTCGACTCAGCCTCCAATGAGTACCTGGTGCTGTGTGTAAACATCGCCAAAGGCGGTGGGGCGTGGTGTTGGCCACCACCCCCTCGTGTGCCGTTCCGGCCTTCATAGGTGCTCGCTAACAGCACTTGCCCCAACAGTCTGTGAAGGCTATACGGGGGGTCTTTGTCTTTGTGTAATTTGACTTCTGTGTGTGGGGAGGGGGGGGGTAGCGGTTCGCGCTCTGCGCCAAGAAACCTGGCGACCCGGGTTCGATTCTCGCTCACGGACAACACCCAGTGACGATGATCTGAACCGGTCCTGGGCCTCCCTTAGGTCGACTCGGCCTCAAATGAGTACCTGGTGCTCTGTGTAAACATCGCCTGCTGGGGAGACAAAGGGCGGTCGGGCGTGGTCCCTGGGAACCCACCCCCTCGTGTGCCGTGCCGGCCTATTAAGGCTACACGGGGTATATTTGTCCTTACACTCTTAGTTTTTTCGGTAAAGTCACGTAGGTAAAAATGAAATTAATAAAAATAAAATATTAATTTTAATTTCATTTTTTCCTACGTGACTTTATGAATCCTTGCAGTCACGAAAGCTTCAACTCTTTGTCCTTGTCTTCTGTGTGGTTGTGCGTCTAGTTGTGTTTCTAGTTTAGCTTTTGTGTGTTTGCGTGTGTAGTTGCGTTGGCACACTTTTTGTGATGCATGGTTGTGGTTGTTTGAGGGCTGGTTGTTGGAGTGGTCATCATTAAAACATTTTCGAATGATATAATCAACTATCATAACGAGTCCAGAATCAACACCTACTCCACATCTCCTCCACGCCGTCACCCCTCCGCGTCCCCTCCACGTGGCTCTCCATCCTCTCTCTGCACCCCCCCCCACCACCTCCTACCGCACCCCTCGGCCCACCACCCACCACCCGCCAGGTCCCCATGAAGAACCTGGAGCGCGAACTGATGTGCCCGGTGTGCGAGGAGCTCTTCACGCACCCCATCATCCTGCCGTGCCAGCACAGCGTGTGCCACCGCTGCGCCAAGGAGCTCCTCTGCCCTCGCGTGAGTGGTCCTCCTCCTCCTCCACCACCTCGCCGTGGGTCCCGCCGGCGCCGCACGAGGCCTCCACCGAGCCGGCGTCCCCCAGCGCGTCGCCCGTGCCGAGCCCGCGCCGCCGCAGCCTCCGCGGCGGGGGCTCCCCCAGCGTCGAGCGGCTGGAGAAGGTGCTACGTGCCGGTGAGCCGTGCGCCCGGCGCTGTCGTCGTCGCTGTCGTCTCGTCCCCCCCCCCGCCCCGAGCCCCCCCTCCCGCCGCGGTGGTTTTCCCGGCTCGCTGGCGGAACCGTGAGGAGGTGGCGATGGCGGGCGGCCTCAGCGTGGCTCAGCGGCGGGGCGGTCCGCGAGTTGGTTCGCGATCTCACGCCCTCGGAGTTGACTCGAGCCGTCCTTCCGCGGTCGGTGAAACGAGTGCCGCTTTGATTATTGGTTTTTTACCCTTCTATCTGACAACAAAACTGAACCTTTTTTACAAGGAGTCATGTTTGCATAGACCACAATACCTGCAGTCATAATGCAAAAAAACCATAACTCTGATAATGTATGCACTGTCCTTGAAGTTGATTGGTCCACACCCTAGACAGCTTTCCTTAGAGCCTAGTCTCACATGGTGTTGGACCAGATGACGCCAAAAGGCGCACAACTCAAAGACAATGCACCATCAGAGTATGAGAGCTCGGGGTAAGCATTTACACCGTTGGTACCTCATTTGCCAGTAAAAAATATGATAATTTATTTTTTTTCCCTTTTATCTGGCAACAAAACTGACACCTTTCTTTTTACAAGGAGTCATGTTTGCATAGACCACAATACCTGCAGTCATAATGAAAACAAAAAACATAACTCTGATAATGTATGCACTGTTCTTTATTATCAGAGTTATGTTTTTTGTTTGCATTATGACTGCAAGTATTGTGGTCTATGCAAACATGACTCCTTGTAAAAAGGTGTCAGTTTTGTTGCCAGATAGAAGGGTATAAAAACAATTATCATATTTTTTACTGGCAAATGAGGTTCCAATGGAGAGTGCCGCTTTGCGGGGGAAAGTTAACGGGGTTTTTTTTCTTTCCCGTCCTAGCGACACGCGACGGGACAGAGAGCCAGGCCGTTGTTTTTTTCTTTATTTCTTCCCCCCTCCCAACTATTTTCGTGCAATTGCCTCGAGCTGTCCCCATGATGACAAGAATGTGAAGTCGTGCTCGCACGAGTTGGATTCCCTCTGCACACCGCCGCTCCGCCAAGACGCTGTACCACCGTTGGATTGAAGGACCGGCCACGCACGTGTCGATCACGTGGGGCTAAGGAACCGTAATTCACCATGCTGATCAGTGCAAGTCGGTGAAGGGTTTGTGGTGGGGGTGGGGGGGAATTTAAGGCGGGGTTGGGGGGGGTCCTAGATTGCCCACTGGATATTAGAACCACTGACATGGCTCCCCCCCCCCCAAGACATTTCGATGGTGGGGGGTTGGTTTGACCGCAGGTCAGGGCAGATTGGTGCAGTGGGGACCCGAGGTCACCGGTTGTGACGTGGGTTGCCACCCGTATCAGCGTGCCACCACTTGCAGGGCCGTTAGAACATTTCTTGCCTGGGTGCGATCCCATTCTCTGCGTGCCCAGTCAGGTTTTGGCCTCTGACGCATTTTGAAATTGGTTTACATTCTCAAAATGCAATCTACTTCTGCTTGCGTTGGCTGTCAGAGGTCTGCGTCCCAGCCACTTTAGCTTCCGACCCATCGACCGATCCACCCACCCACCCACCACCTCGTCACCATCTCGTTCAATCGGCCCTCTCGCTCCCACATTCTAGCCAGCGCCAGGGACGGCCCTCGGCTATCAGCGCATCGGCACGCGATGATCCGGTGACTGCATCGATCGATTGCTCGGCTAAAATTATATTAAAAAAAAAATGTAATCTCACGGTCACCGAATCCTTCGCGATTTATATAACACCAACTTGTTTGGCCTGGTGGAATTCATGCGCATGCGATGTTCTTTTGGCTGACATGACAAAGAAGCCAGAGCACAACGATGCAGACCAGGCGGCGGCACGGCACGGGCACGGCACGGCGTGCCGTGAGCCGTGGGGAGGGCAGCGGCGTCGTGCCGGTAGAAGCCTCCGGTGAGAAGGGAAATGACAGAACAGCTGACACATTGGCAGTGGCAGACGCCGCCGGGTGGATGGTTAACATGGATGGATTGCGAGAGGATGGGATATTCTTAGGTTTTTTAGGTAAAGTCACGTAGGTATAAATTAAAATTAAAATTCGGAGGGGAGCCGGGCCAGGGGCCATCCATCTAGCAGTGGAGCGACCCTGCTTGGTGATTCGTATGTGGCACATTAGGAATGGATCATGTGCAACACGTACACCCCTTGAAAATCGTACGCTTGCGGCATCGAGGCAGTAAAAAAAAAATAGTTGAGTTTTTATTTTTAATTTGCAACACCAACGGGACCAACGCGGTGGCGGCGGCGGCGGCTGCTGCATCGTGAGAATTCCTCGACGACGCTTGCAACGCTCCGTTCGCCCTCGCTTGCCACACCCTCGCAGGAGGTAACGGTCTGGCTCGTTCTGGGAGGCAGCCTCGCGCGCGAGCGGCGTACAGTGCCGCGCAGCGAATGGTCGAAGTTTGTGTCGTTGCGGTGGGTGGGAGGGCGGAGAGGAGCGGGGCGGGAGCGCGCGCACGCGCCTCTGTCGATTCGCTCTCGTGGGGGGGGCCGCGCGGCGGTCGTGCGTCAGGGCATCTGCGCCACCTGTTGTGGTGGCTTCACGTCGGGGTCCTCGCCCCACCGTCCCATCCCCCCGCCAACCACAAGCTCACGGCGGCTGAGTCGCTCTCCTCCCAGGGCAAAACGAAATCCGCAAACCGTAACGAATGCGGATTCTACGCAAACGCCGTTTGTGCCCGTGCAGAGGGTTTGGGATAAATGTCTATTCTATTTTTTTTCTTCTTGGTTCTTTCGGTAAAGTCACGTAGAAGGGAAGTAATAAAATAATAAAAATAAAACAATTCTCTCGACGGACCTGGTTTTCACCTGAGGACGGCTGATTGCATTGTGGCCGAAACGTCGTGAGAATTGTTTTATTATGTTTTATTTTTATTATTTTATTACTTCCCTTCTACGTGACTTTACCGAAAGAACCAAGAAGATGAATCCCTGCAGTCACGAAAGCTTTAAATCGAAATTGTCTATTCTATTGTATTTTGGATTCGTACAGAATCCTTTCCAGGGCGCTGGCTCTCGGCCAGATGTGCGCGGGATCACTGCGTTTACCGGGACATGCCCTTTGGAGTGATTTCCACGAGGCCAGCGACCCTAAGGCAGATGGTGGTGGTGCAGCAGAGGTCGCAAACGGGTTTTGATTCCTTACCCGTACACCGTACCCGGCCGCACCAGGGTCGCAAATGGGTACCCGTACCCGGCCAGGTACGGGTAGCCGTTCCCTACCCGTACCCTACCCGAAATGAGTGACAAACGGCTACTCACCAGTGACTCACGGCCTACCCGTACCCGGCCGCACCAGGGTCGCAAACGGGTACCCGTACCCGTACCTGGCCGGGTACGGGTAGCCGGGTACGGGTATCGGGTACCCGGTTGCGACCTCTGTGGTGCAGGGAAGGAGGGGGGGCGGTTGAGGTGCTGTCAGGAGCAACACCCCTCGAAAGTGGCGCTGTCTTCGGCAGCCGGACAGAGACCGGCAGGGGTCGAGGAGCGCCGGCGTCACCCGCGGTGCCGTCTCGACCGTGAATCGTGGCCGAGTCTGGACGGGGCAAGTAGTGACTTCCAGCCACAGCAAGAGGTGTCCTGTGGCGTGCGATGCGCCGGCTGTGGGAAACGTCTTCTGGTTGTCGACCCGGGCGAGCCGGACTGATTGATAATAATCAAGCGCCTTTGTTTCGCGCGTTAACCGCCTGTCACCGGTTGTTTTCCACCCCCTTCCGCAGCGGTTTTGTTGAGAAAACTGACTCCGAAGAAATCAGGTAAACCGTACCTGCACGTCTCTCTTCCTCGAGGCAGACGACGTCCCCCCTACCTCGTCGTCAGAAGTTTGTTTTTCTTTCTACCCCCCCCCCCCTCGGGGATGGGTGGGGGGGTAAATGGAAACAAAATCTTCTAAAAGCTTCAGCGCATCAAGCCGTGCGCTCTGGTCCCACCTGGGAGTGTGTTTCTCGTCCGACGCAGCGCCGTTGGCTACAATCGGAGTGCGATCGTAATACACCGCATCGCGCGGCGCATTCGGATGCGCTTCTGCGGCCGTCTGGAACGACGCTGTTCCTTCCGATATTAGGAAGCCCACTGGGGAGCTATGATGCACTTTTACTGCATCGAGATTGTCCTTCCCCCGCGCCTCCGATTAGCACGGTTGGCTACGTACGGTGCGAAAGAAGTTCAACGTACCGTACATACAGACGTACATACACGGGGGATTCGTAGTGAGATCGTAACACCCACTCGCGTAAGATCTGTCGCTCGGGAGTTGCGTCCTCACTGCCACCGTCTCTAGCCGGTGGCCCTGCCAGGGAGACGGGGACCAGCACCCGCCTGGCACCCGGCCTGACGGGTGCTGGACCGGAGAGATTCGCCATGAGTCTGCCAACGCCGAGTCCCGTAAAAACCCCCCCGACGCCGTTACGGTTCAATCTTGACTTGAAGCTGTCGTGACTGCAGGAATCCATACTCTATCCCACCTGAGGACGGTCGTTTGGGTGGCGATCGAAACGTCGTGATCTATCATTATTATTATTTTTTTCTACGTGACTTTACCGAGAGAACCAAAGAGTATTCTTAGATTTTTTCGGTAAAGTCACGTAGGTAAAAAAATCCAAGTTAATAAAAGTAAAATAAAATTAAAATCACCTGAAGACGGAAGCTTGTGTTGCCTCCGGAACGTCGTGATTTTTTTTTTTACTTTATTAATTTAGATTTTTTTTACCTACGTGACTTTACCGAAAAAACCTAAGAATATGAATACTTGCAGTCACGAAAGCTTCAAATCTAGAACCAAAGAGTATGCCGCTACGGTAGTTTGTAGCACGTCCCGCACTCTGGCCCCGTGCATCCTAAATTTACAACTCGAGATGTCAATTTATAAAGCCGCTAAATGTGACTTCCCCCATCTGAGGACGCTGCGCAAATAGGGGCGGAGTGATTCTTTTTAAAGGATTTGCTTCTCCGTTGACTTTATTCGGGGGATTCTAATCGCAGGCGTCGTTCGGCCCGCTGCGTGTCGACGCTCCCCCCTCCTCGTGCCGGCAGCTCCCGGGCGAGCTCTCGGCAGCGCCCGGCGCGAAACGTCGGACACCGTGCCGAAACGACACCGCTGTCGCGACCCCCGACAACTCCGCGGAGATCCGCACAGCGCGGCAAAGAAGACCTGACCACGGCCGTAGGGAGGGGGCCGTTTATAAACGCGAGGCAGGCACAGCGCTGCTCTACTCCCGGCACTGCTTGCTGCGGATAGGGAAACACACTCCCAGGCACAATTACAGGCCAGTCTTCCTCTACGGCTGCAGCTTGCAGCGCGCTGCCTTGCCCTGCTGCTGCCTGCGTGGTTTCAGGTGTCGGGAGGCTGTCTCTTCTTCTCTCGCGCTCTGTTGTTGTTGATGCGCGGAGCCTCTGTCGCTCCCGTGGGTTGGCTCATAATGGCCATGTGGGTGAAATGCGTGTTCGTGTGTTGCAGCTGGAAACTTGCAAGGTGTTTCCCCTCCCCCCCCCCCCCACGCCGTGTTTTGCTGATGTGCGTATGCCGTGTGTGTGTGCATGTGAATTATTGTTATTTTGCGTGTATGTATTGTTATGGGGAGCGGTAGCGTAGCGGTTAGCGCTACGCTGCGCTCCGACCCCGGCGGGCCGAGTTCGATTCCCGCTCACGGTCAAAACCAGTGACGATTATCTGAGCCGGTCCTGGGCCTCCCCTAGGTCGACTCAGCCTCCAATGACTACCTGGTGCGGTGTGTAAACATCCCCACCAGAGGAGACAAAGGCATGGTGCTGGCCACCCGTCCCTACGTGCACCGTTCCGGCCTTCATAGGTGCTACTCGCACTTTCCCCAACAGTCTGTTAAACTATACGGGGTGGGGGGGGGATCTTTGTGTATGTGTAGTGACTCACTTCTGAGACAGGGATCATTCAAGCACCTTCTTTATTCTCCACGTCAGGGGAACTACATGCCAGTCACCCTACGTGCGCACACGCTTGTCACGCATCCGTCTCTTCTGACGGCACGACCTAGCCAGTACAGTCGGCAGGCTGTCGAGCTAGCGGCGTCGAACGTGCTCAAGACTGCGGCGACGAAGGTGACGAACAGCGGCACGGCGAGGGGCTATCCACTTCCAGCGACAGCCCCGAGCTCTCGCCCCGGGCCCCCTTTTATCCTCCCGGCGTGTCCTCGCTCCGCCCTCGCCACGCCCCCTTTCTGGAACCTACTCGCAGGTTCCCGGGCTTCCAGATGAACCCCTTCCTGAGCTTCTCTTTCGATCTCCTAATCCCCCCCCCCCATATCTCCTCCCTCTGCTGACGTGTGTACTGTCCTCTGCTGTCAGTACTACTTTTCCATCAGCAGCCAGCGTTATTACACACCACATGTATTGCGTGGATAATTATGCGTGGATATAAATAATGTACATTAGTGATTCAATACTGTGAATCACTAATCAAAGGTCGCCCGGTGACTAAAAGCTCACAGCGCTGAAGCCAGCACAGCCGAGAGCCTGGGTTTGAATCTGGGTTTCAGCCGCGTCTGGTACAAGCCGGTTCCAGCCCGACCACCAGTGACTACGCACCACAAAAAATTGGCACCGCACTTAATTATTATACATTGACGCTCGGAGATTTTTTATAAATGAAGGAGCAGATCAGTTTCTCCGCCGTAACGACGAACATCACTCCCCTTAATAGTCGGAACCGGCTGGAAAGTGCTGCGTCGTTACTCCGTGGGCTCAGAGGACTCTAAAATCGATCTCGGAGGTAGCTCTGTGCTATCCGCTTCCAAATGGGTTCTGCGTTCCGTGCCGCCGCCGATAGACCACAATCTGGATAACGGTTCTCAACGTGGTCTGGGGGAGGAGCGGGCGGTGGGGGGGGGGGGTTAGACGTGCGACGTGTCCAGCAATATCTAAAGAGTCCGCTGCTTTCACAAGTCTTTAAAAAAAGAAAAGCTTGCTTTTTAGTTTTTCTGCCGAGTCAGCTCAGAGGGAGATTTCGGGCCAAATCGATCGCCGCAGGCTGCTGGCTCCCGCGGGGGGGGAGCTTTCGGATTGCCATACCCACGGGCGCCGCCGTCAATCGGAGCTATAGTGGCCTATCGCGGCCCGCTCTCCCCCGTCGTGAATCTTGACGATGGCCACCATTGTAACATCTCCCTCCGCAGGCAAAGCTCGCGAACGCTCGCGAGCGCTTAGCCCAGCACGACACACGAGCGAGGGGGCGGTGCGTGGCCAGCACCTCGCCCCGGCCGCCTTTGTCTCCCCACACAGCTGATGTTTTACCTCGCCGCGCCAGCTGGTCGTTTAAGGTTGAGTCGACGTAGGGGATGGCCACCAATTGTTGGCCGTGGTGGCGAAATCGAACTCGAGGCGCCGGGTTCGTGGTGCAGCGTGCTGATCTCTACACCACCGCGCCTTACACACACACAAAGACAAAGGTACCCGCTCCCGCACAGCCTTGACAAACGCACACACTCGTGCACAAACTATTCGCCCTCGCACGGAGAGACACTCGCTCGGCGGCCTCGGCACAGACACGCGCGGGCTGCGTGAGCTGGCATGAATGTGCTGAGATGATTAAAGCACAAAGGCTCGATTGTCTCTTAGTGGGGGGGGGGGGGGGGGGCGTGGGGGCGTGGGGGGGTTGGTGGGAGCCCCCCCCCGGGTTTGCTTTATAAGCGCAAGCGCTTGCATACCTGAACCTCTTCCACGCTAATTCGCACCGAGTCCCAACAAGCCCCCAATCATGACAACACAATCAACGCCACTGTCACTCGCTCGTTACTGCTGGCCCCAAATCCTGTTACAGGGTACAGCGTGTGTGTCTATTTGTGTGTTTGCGTGCCTATTTGTGTGCACGTCTATGTGTGTGTTTCTGTTTGTGTGTGTGTGCCTGTTTGTGTGCACGTCTGTGTGTGTGTGTCTATTTGTGTGTATGCGTGCCTATTTGTGTGCACGTCTATGTGTGTGTTTCTGTTTGTGTGTGTGTGCCTGTTTGTGTGCACGTCTGTGTGTGTGTGTCTATTTGTGTGTGCCTATTTGTGTGTATGTGTGCCTGTTTGTGTGCACGTCTGTGTGTGTGTTTCTGTTTGTGTGTGCCTATTTGTGTGTATGTGTGCCTGTTTGTGTGCACGTCTGTGTGTGTGTTTCTGTTTGTGTGTGCCGTGGGGAGCGATCGTGTTTGTAGCGGTTAGCACGCTGCGCTACGAACCCCGCTCAAGGCCACCATCGCTGACGATTTGCTGAACCGGTCCTGGGCCTCCCCTAGGTCGACTCGGCCTCACATGAGAACTGTACCTGGTGCGCTGTGTAAACATCGCCACTTGGGACACAAATGTGGTCAGACGTGGTGCTGGCCACCCACCCCCTCGTGTGCCGTGCCGGCCTTCATAGGTGCTCGCTCACGGCACTTGCTCCAAAAGTCTGTGATGGCTACACTGGGGGATCTCTGTGTGTTTGTGTGCGTGTGGTGTGTTTGTGTACGTGTGGTGTGTGTGTGTACGTGTGGTGTGTGTGTGCGTGTGGTGTGTGTACGCGTGGTGTGTGTGCGTGCGCGTATTAACACGATCGGAATGGATGACGCGAGCAGGTCGAGAGGCCCCGCCGAGTGGGAGCTCCGTGTCTCCTGCGGGAATGTGTGTGAGCGTCCGTGCGTGGGCGGCGTGTGTGTGTGTGAGCGTCGGTGCGTGGGCGGCGTGTGTGTGTGTGAGCGTCCGTGCGTGGGTTGTGTGTGGGTGGCGTGCGTGGTCTAGCGTCCTCCGCTCCTCCACGCTGCTGATCCACGCGTCCGGAGGCTGCGACGCGTCCGACTGTCACGTCGCGACCCCCTCTACCCCACCCCACCCCGACCGATGATCATCGTCATTATCGTCGTCAACCTCTCGCGAACCTGCGACACAATATATCCGTACGGCACCTGGAATTGATTTAACCTCTCCATCCACCTCGGTGGTCGGTCATCCTCGAAGAGGCGGTTCCATTCCTTGGCCGCCACTCGTTTTTTTTTTACCTGCCTTCCCTTTTCCCTCGGCCATCGGCGATCAATCATCCCTTCTGGCGAACTGCGGCGCCCCGAACCACGGCTCGCTCGCTCTCCTCTAGCGGTGTCTCCGACACGGCCGGTGGGAACGTTCGACGACGACGACGACGATGACAAAATACGGGTGGATGCACTTTTTTGTTTACCTAGGAATACATCACAGAGTTCTCTGCCACTTTCTCCAGGGAGGGCACCGCTCCACCGCGATGTTTTGGCCGATCCCGTGTTGAGTTTCTTGAGCGATGAGCGTTTGGCGTCGCGTGGCAGGAAAACCCCGAAAAACCAAGCCGGAGAAAACCCCCCAGCACTCACGCCAGGAGATAACAACACTCGACGGATCGCCCACAGATGGGCGAATAATTTAAACGAACAAAATTAACGCTCCCCATACCGCCGCCCCCCGCCCACCGTCTACCCAGAATCCCTTGTGAACCTGACGGCTGCCCCGCTGCGCCCCGCCCGCCCGGGCCCCCGCGGGGGCTGCTCGTTCCCGTGCCCAGCCTGCGACTGCGACGTCGACCTGGGGCCCAAAGGGATCGCCGGCCTCTTCCGCAACTTCACGCTGGAGACCATCGTGGAGCGATTCCGACAGGTGGGTTGTCCAACAGGGGCGGGGGCGTGGGGGGGTCGGGGGGTGTTGGGGGGGGGTGTGGGGGTTAGTGGGGGGGGCGGTAGTGCGCCTACGCGTGGGCGAAGTCGATCGACGTCAATTAAAGTCGATCAAAGTCGATAAATGTCTATCTACGTCAATCAAAGTCGATAAATGTCTATCTACGTCAGTCAAAGTCGATAAAAGTCAATCAAAGTCATCGACGTCGATCAAAGTCTGTCAAAGTCTATTGACGTCGATCAAAGTCTATCGATGTCGATCAAAGTCAATCAAAGTCGATCGACGTCGATCAAAGTCGACTTCGATCGACGTCAATTAAAGTTCGATCAAAGTCTATCGCCGTCAATCAAAGTCTATCAAAGTCATCGACGTTGATGCGCGCAAGGAAAAGCAGCCGCGCGCCGTCTTTCGTAAATCGGTTGTTGAAAAACATTTTACGGCACATTGTTTGCTGAGTGTTGCGAATGGGGAAGTGAAATGAAACGATGGAATGAGAGAATAACAACAACAAGAGGGGACTGTTGCAATTAGGTCAAGAATGGGCCTCGGTGTCTCGCTTATCGGGCTGTGCAGCGTGCTGTCCGCCTGCCATTTCGCTCCCCCAAGTTTCCGAATGAATTGAGTTCCTGACGGAGCTCTCGGTGCGTGGATCGAAACGCCGGACATCGTGGGAGAGCTGCACAGCGGTGCGGGCGCCCTTGTCCCCCCCCCTCCCCCCGTGTCGCCCCTCCACCCATGTCGCCCCCCCCCCCCCCCCGTGTCGCCCCCCCATGTCGCCCCCCCCGTGTTGCCCCCCCCCATGTCACCTCCCCCCCGTGTCACCCCCCCCGTGTTGCCCCCCCCCCATGTCACCCCCGCCATGTCACCCTCCCCGTGCCCCCAGAGCGCTGGGGCACAGCCTGCACCATCCCAGCTGCGTTGTTGGCAAGGGGCGTTTGTTTCATTGCACGCCCCTCTCCTCTGCTGTCACTACCACTGGCACCTCCACCATGACCACCACCATCACCATCATCATCACCACCACCACCACCGTGAACACCGCCACCATTGCCTTACGTCACCTTCACTACCGCCATCTTCACTGCCACCTCCACCACCACCACCACCACCACCGTCGCCTTCACTTCCTCCACCGCCACCATTGCCTACGTCACCTTCACTGCCACCTCCACCACCGTCGCCTTCACTTCCTCCACCGCCACCCCTCGCCACCGCCACCGCCACCCACCGCCACCCACCGCCACTTCCTCCACCACCACCACCACCGCCACCACCGCCACCCACCGCCACCACCGCCACCCACCGCCACCACCACCCACCGCCACCACCACCACCGCCGCCACCACCACCCACCGCCACCGCCACCACCACCCACCGCCACCCACCACCACTTCCTCCACCGCCACCACCACCACCGCCACCCCCCGCCACCACCACCACCACCGCCACCCACCGCCGCCACCACCGCCACCCCCCGCCGCCACCACCTACAGGCGGCCAGGGCCGCGACGGCCGTGATGTGCGACCTGTGCTACCCTCCGCCGACCGAGGCCACCAAGAGCTGCCTGGACTGCCGCAAGAGCTACTGCAACGAGTGCTTCAAGGTGCACCACCCGTGGAACACGCCCAAGGCCACGCACGAGTACATCGGCCCCACCAAAAACTTCCGGCCCAAGGTGGGGACGGGACTCGCGGCGTGAGGGCGGCTCATCAGGCCCCCCCCCCGACTCCCCCCCCCCCCCCTCTCAACCCCAACCTTCTCCACCACCCCCCTCTCCACCATTCCCCCCACGTCGGCAGGATACGGACACGACGAAGCGACCGCGTGGGGGGGGCCGTGCGTTGTGATCGTGACGTCGCTCCGCCCCCCCCCCCCCACGTGCTTGACCTAGATCCACACCCACCCCCCGCCCCCATCCCTCTCTGCGTTCTTAGAATGCTTAGAATGTTTCGCTTGTTACATTTACCCGGCTCTGAAAGCGCGCTACATTTGGTCAGACTTGTGTAGATTTGCCTGAGCCTGGAGGGGGTGGGGGGGACCCCCTTGACCAGCAACTCGGGGCCCGTGGCTCCTTGCTCAGTTCCCTTGTGGCCTGAGAAGCCTCGCGCCACCACTTCCCTGCTTACCCCCCGTGCCCCCCACACTCCCCGTGCCCCCCACACCCCCGTAGGTGCTGATGTGCCCGGAGCACGAGGCAGAGAAGGTGAACATGTACTGCGAGGTTTGCCGCCGCCCCGTGTGCCACCTGTGCAAGCTCGCCGGCATTCACGCGAACCACAAGGTCACCAACATCAACAGCGCCTACAAGGCGCTCAAGGTGGGCACGTGACGACGACGATGACGACGCGGAGGGGACCGCCGCCATCGTCGTCGTCGTTGCGGTCGTTGCGATGATCGATGTCGCGGTCGTCGCGACAGTCGTTACGATCGTCGTGGTCGTCGCGGTCGTCACGACGTTCGTCATCGCAGTTGTCATAACAGTCATCGTCGAGGTCATCTTCACGATCATCTTAGCGGTGGTCATGACGATTGTCGTCGTCGTAGTCGTCGTCGTGATCGTCACGACGATCGTCGTTGCAATCGTTGTCACCGTCATCGTCCAGCTCGTTGTCTTCACGTTCATCGTCGGCCTCGCCACGAGCTTCGGCACGATTCTTACAATCGTCGCGATCGTTGGGGTCGTCATTGTAATATTCACGATTGTTGTCGTCACGATGGTGACCGTTGTCACCACCGTCGTTGTCGTCATCATCCTCGTCGTGTCGGTCATCGACTTGAGTCGTCGTCAACGTCATCACAGTCATTTTCATCGTCAATGTCGTCATCGTCATAGTCGTGAACATCTTCTTGGCTGCTGTAAATGTCCACGTGATGAGGCCACTTCGTTGAGCTATCATTTGTGAAAGCCAGGTCGCTTCTGAATACATCACAGCTCAAGTGGGCCTTGTCTGGTAGTAAAAAAAATAATAATCAAGTTTTAGCTTTTATCGTTTAGTTTATTTCTGATACTCACGCGATGCGCAGTGCCACGTGGCAGGGTCTGCACGGTCGTAGCCACCTCGCTAAATCTTCATAATAAGGTAAACCCACTAAATCTAATTTCATAAAAAGGTGACCCTCCGCTAAATCTAATTTCGTAAAAAGGTGACCCCACCAAATCGAATTCGCATCAAGCACATTGTTACGGCTTAAACTTCACATCTTATCCTGTGGCATCACCTCTAACCAGAGGTGGGACAAAGTCATTGTTATGCAAGTCCAAGTCGAGTCTGAAGTCATCAAATTCATGACTCGAGTCTGACTCGAGTCCAAGTCACATGACTCGAGTCCACACCTCAGAGGTGGGACAAAGTCATTGTTATGCAAGTCCAAGTCGAGTCTGAAGTCATCAAATTCATGACTCGAGTCTGACTCGAGTCCAAGTCACATGACTCGAGTCCACACCTCAGCCTCTAACCCCCCTCCCCCACCCCTCCCTCCCTCCCTCCCGCTGCTGCTTCTTCTCGTCTCTCCCTCGTCGGCGCTGCCAGGAGAAATTGGCCAAGAGCATCAACCTGCTGGTGAGCAAGGAGGACCAGGTGAAGGAGCAGCTGGGAGTCATCGAGACTCTGATCAAGGACACGGAGGTGCGATGCTTTGCTTATCGATCGGCGTCCCAGCCCCCCCCCCCCGCCCCCCCCCCCACCCGCCCATCCGTCGTCGGGGTCATGCGGCCGTCCGAGCGGCGGACCACGCGCGGTGGTAAAGAAGTTTAAGCGAACGTACGCGCGTGCGTCCGTGCGTCATCTCGTCCGTCTGTCCTTGTTCTATTCCTGTGTCCGGTCCATTGTGCCCATCCACGTGTTTGTCATTCCACCTCTGTGGCTGTCCTCAACTGCATGTCCTCCCGCCATTATTTGTTCGTCTGTCTCATTTGGCCGTGGGTCCCACGTTCTGTCGCCTGCATCCTTCCCCCCCCCCCCCGTCATTCCACTTTGCACTCTTCCTCCACTCACCCTTCCGTCTGTCTATTCCTTCGTCCGTGTGAACTCTTCTTCCGTCTCTGCATTTGTCTCAGCCCAGCTGTTACCCCGTGACACCTGGGTCTGTCCCGTCACCGCGTGCCAGTGGGCCGTGGACACTTGGCGTGGCTTGAAGGTGTACCTAGCCTGGTTTACAAGCACTGTGGTGGTGTCACCATCACTTCGTGGCAAATGGCGGCGGTTGTTGTTGACTGCATCTGTGTGTACGTGTGTCTGTCAGCGGTGGTGTAGCGGTTAGTGCGCCGCGCTGCGAACCCGGCGACCCGAGTTGGATTTCCACTGACGGCCAACACCCAGTGACGATTATCTGAACCGGTCCCCCCTAGGTCGACTTAGTCTCAAATGAGTACAGGGTGCAGTGTGTAAAAACATCGCCACTGGGGAGACAAAGGTGGTGCTGGTCACCCACCCCCTCGAGTGCCGTGCCGGCCTTCGTAGGTGCTCGCTAACAGCACTTGCCCCTACAGTCTGTTAAGGCTACACGGGGCATCTTTGTCCTTGTCTTCTGTCTGGTTGTGTTTATAGTTGTTAAGGCTATACGAAGGATCTTTGTCTTCATCAGTCCTTCTATGTATCCGCGCGTCCACTGGCGCGTGCGTGCATCTGTCCACATAACATCCGCGCGTCCACGCATGCGTCCGTCCGTCCGCGTGTCCGTCCGCGTGTCCGTCCGCGTGTCCATCCGTGTGTCTGTCCGTCCATCCGTTCCGCGTGTCCGTCCGCGTGTCCGTCCACGTGTCCGTCCGTCCGCCTGTTCCGCGTGTCCGTCCACGTGTCCGTCCGTCCGTTCCGCGTGTCCGTCCGCGTGTCCGTCCGCGTGTCCGTCCACGTGTCCGTCCGCATGTCCGTCTGCATGTCCGTCTGTCCGTCCCGTGTGCGTGCAGACGGGCGGCGATCTCGCGGCGCGCAGCGTCACGGAGGCCTTCGGGGGCCTGGAGGAGGCGGTGAGGGCGCGGCGCGCGGCCATGTCGCACCGCCTGGAGGGCTGCCGCGACGACGTCGCGTGCCGGCTGCATGCGCAGCACTCCGAGTGCGAGCAGCTGCTGCAGAGCTCGGGGCTCGTGGGCCTCGCCCGCGAGTTCCTCAAGGAGAGCGACCCCTCCTGCTTCATGCAGACCGCCAAGCTGCTGCACAGCAGGTAGACGCGGCGGCGACACGCGCGCGTACACGCACACGTACACACGCGCGCGCGTACACACACCCAAGCACACACGCGTATACGCACACGCGTACACGCACATGCGCACACATGCACACACGTACACACACGTACACGCACACATACACGTGCTCGTACACACGTACACACGTACACATAGTACACATAGAACACATGTACACGTAGTACACACACACGCACGCACACACACGTGCTCGTACACACGTACTCATAGTACACATAGTACACACGTACACATAGTACACATAGTACACACGTACACAGTACACACGTACACACACACGCAAACACGTACACACGCACGCACGCACGCACACGATCCTCGCTCGCGGCCAACATCGGTGACGAAGATACCTGAACCGGTCCTGGGCCTCCCATCGGGTTCACTCGGCTTGAAATGAGGACCTGGTGAAGCCTGTAAACATCACCAATGGGGAGACAAAGACGGCCGGGTGCGGTGCTGTCCTGCCCCCACCCACTTCCGCGTGCGCGCCGTCCCGGCCTTCATCGGTGTTCGCTGACAGCACTTGCCCCCGACGTTCTGTTGGAGGCTACACGGGGCACCTTTGTCTTTGTGATCCCGCAGGATCATGAGGGCGACGGATCGCTTCAAGTCGTTTGAGGCGGATGTGGTGGACGCGTCATTCTCGGGGTTCACGGTGAACGTGGCTCGGGAACAAGCCTTGCTGGGCTCCCTCGACTTCCTCAAGGGTGAGGGCCCACCAACGCCACCACCGCCACCACCACCACAGCTGCCGCCACCACCACCGCCACAGCCACCACCGCCACCGCCGCCGCCACCACCACCACCGCCACCACCGCCGCCACCACCACCACAGCCACCACAGCCACCACCACCACAACCACCATCACCGCGACCGCCACCACCACCACCACCACAGCCACCACCGCCGCCGCCACCACCACCACAGCCACCACCGCCGCCACCACCACAGCCACTGCCACCTCCACTACCCTCACCACAGCGACCACCACCACAACAACAACCGCCATTCGCTACTTTGTGGCGGTGACGTCACCACGGCGCTTGCGCCAGGCTGGGTGTACTTGAAGGCCACGTGAAGTGTCGACCGCCTGCCGGTAGCGGGCGATGTTCGCTCTGCGGCAGATTCCCCCAGCGACCGATCGATTTCGTGAGTAGATTCACCAAATGTGGACCGCCACGCCGGCACACGACGGCAACCGCCGCACCTCGAGAACATCGCGTGGCAACGTCCAACCGTGGACCACGCTGCGGCTCGTCCACGCGGCCGAGCCGCACTGCAGATGCGTGTCTAACCCCGACTGGCCCGCGATACGACGCGGCCCGGCGATTGGCGGCGATGCGGCAGTCGCGTTGGCAAACCACCCCCCCCTCCCCCCCAGCCCCCCCCTCCCTCCCAGCCCCCCGACCGCGTAGACGTTTGAGCGCTACCCCCCTCGTGTATGCTCTGGGTTTTCTCCGGGCTCCCCCCGGTTTCCTTGCCCCCCCTGCACCCGAAGCGCCGAGCGCTCGCCCCGAAGTGGAACTGGCCAGACATCCCCAACGTAGCGGGAGGATTTAAACGGCGGTGCCAATGAACCGGCGATGGTAACGATGAACCGGTGATGGTAACGATGAACCGGCAGTGCCAATGAACCGGCGATGGTAACGATGAACCGGCAGTGCCAATGAACCGGCGATGGTAACGATGAACCGGTGATGGTAACGATGAACTGGCAGTGCCAATGAACCGGCGATGGTAACGATGAACCGGCGATGGTAACGATGAACCGGCAGTGCCAATGAACCGGCGATGGTAACGATGAGCAGGCGTTGACGATGAACCAGCGGTGACGAACCAGTGGTGATGATCAACCGGCAACGGTGATGATGAATCGGCGATTTTGACGGTGAACCGCCGGTGAGGATTTAAACGGCGGTGACAGTGAAGTGGTGACGGTGAACCCCCCCGCGGTTTGTGTTCCAGCCCCGGAGACGCCGGTGCTGGACCCGAGCCGCAGCGCCATTTACAAGGACGCCCAGGTGAGCTGGTCTCTCCCCGAGGGCTCCGCTCCTGCCGATCGGTTCCAGCTCGAGTTCCGGCCCCCTCCGCGGCGCCGCCCGTCGCCCGTCCCGGACCGCGGCACCCCGGATCCGGCTAGCGGAGATGACGTCGACGACCCGGAGTGGAGCCGCGTGGACGGGATCCGGAGCACGAGCCACGTGGTGACGGGAGTCCAGCCCGGCGTGGACCTCACGGTCCGAGTCCGGGCCGTCAACGCAGCCGGAGCGAGCGCGTTCAGCGCGGAGATGACGATGGCGGCGCCGCCGGCGCAAGGTAGGCGGGCGCCTGCGCGCGCTGGCACGCACGTCGCGTGCACGTTGGCACGCGTACTAACAAGAATAAGAATCGTGGCAATCTCTGCGTTTCAAGTGCCGCTTGCTTAAATGTCAAGGTGCCTGGCATCAAATCCTCATCTCGGTCACTCGAAGGGCTGTCCCCTGCGCGGCGCAAAGTGATTCGGCACCGGCCTGTGAGTGGGCGTGAGCCTGCAAGTCGGGGACGGCTGCCACACCGGTGGCGCCCGCCTCGGCTAGACCGCGGCGAGGCTTGGGGACGGCTGAGATGGGACGCGACGGTGGGGGGGGTGAAGGGGGGTTTGACGGCGCTTGGAAACGCCGAGGTCTTTGAGCGAGCGGCGCTGTGTTGCCGCGACTCTCCCTCGTCTCCCTCGTCCCAGTCTTCAGCTTCCTGCTGGACGACGACTGCGGCTACGAGCGCGAGCGGCTCGTCCTCTCCCCGCGCCGCGCCAGCGTCGACAGCGTCGTCGGGCTGCCCGCTCTGCTCGCGTCCGAGGGGCTTGCCGGGGGCAGCGCCGGCAGCAGTAGCGCCGGCGACAACGACGACCCGCACCGCTGCCACGGGGACGGCGTCAACGGCGCCGCCGGCACCGCCGGCCCGCTGGCGCCGCTGTCGTTCATCGCCGGGGACGCGGCCGTGAGAGGCGGGCGCCACTTCTGGGTGGTGCGCGTGCGGCCTAGCAGCTTCCTGGTGCGCGTCGGGGTGGCGGCGCCGGAGGCTCTGCGGTGCTGGTTGCGTCGTGCCGTCACCGGCGGCGGCAAAGGCAGCGCCGGCGGCAAGGACGCGGCCGCGCGGGGGAAGGGCGTTCGGTGAGCGGCGCTAACGCTCGTGGGTGGTCCCCGCAAACATCGCAGGCCATCTGCGCCACGTGTCACGGTCTTTTACTTAAAAAAAAAAATATATTTCGTCAAAAATGACCCAACAAAAATTACTCCTAATTGGAAAACGCACCGCGATCATCGCCTTCCCCCCGACCCTACCGGCAGGCTCATGCCAATTGCCGGTTCCGTGCAGGACAGCTGCCATAAGGGGCATTCCCCTAGGCAATACAGCATCACCTTAGCCCCAAAGAGAATTCTGATCGGTGGCTGTATTGTCTTTCAGAGCTTATGGCTGTCAGCTGGTGAATGTACGCACGTACACCTCTCACCGTGTAGATGCATGCGTAGGCCGTGTGTCCCGGGCTGTCCCACACGAGTTTAAAGCTTCGTTGGGTGAGAGCCATGATGATGATGACGATTAACAGGAAGTTATACGTATGTTTGTTGAACTTCTTTCGCACCATGCACGATGACGATCAGGACATGGGCGATGACAATTACGGGATGACGATGTTGCTCAGAATGATGATGATGATGATGACGATGATTATCAAGATAATGATGACGGCGATCCTGAACATGAGGATTATCACAATGATGATGATAATGATGCTGATATTTGATTTGATGAAGACAATGACGATCAGCACAACGGCGATGACGACGATGACGACGATTCTGCCACTGCCCCCCCGCCGCCCGCAGGCACAAGCCGGACAGCCCCTCCTCGGCCGCCCCCTCGGCCGCCCCCTCGGCCGCCCCCTCCTGCGCCTTCGTCTCCGTGGGCATGGGTCAGGTGGTGGCCCCCAGCTGGGCCCAGCTGCCCGCGCCCCCCCCCTCCTCTCCCGCCAAGGGCACGACCCGGGCGGCACCGCAGGCGCCGGCGTCGGCGTCGCCGCAGCACCGCCAGCAGCAGCAGCAGCCGCAGCAGCAGCCGGCGCCACGCGCCACCTCCGCCCGCTCCCAGCGAGCCGCGAAGCCCCTCGTTCGTTCCGCCTCCGCGCCCAAGTCGGCGCCGGGGACGCCGCGACGCGCCGCGGCCTCCGGGGGGCGGAACGCGCGCGTGTCGGCGCTGCCGGCGCGCCTCGGCGTGTGCCTGGACCACGGCGCCGGGACGGTGGCGTTCTACGACGCCGACGGCGGCGGCGCGACCCGGCTCTGCGAGATGCCGGTCGACTGCTCGGGCCCCGTGTTCCCCGTGTTCGCGTTTCTGGGCGGCGGCGGGCTGGAGCTGGAAGTGGCCGACGGTGGGGTCTGCGCCGACGGTACCGGTGGAGCCGGCGGCGGCGGCAAGAGGGGAGCCGCGCCGCCGCTGTCGGCACAGCCCGGCGTGAACGGTGTCTGACTGCAGCCGCGCGGGAAATTAATTTTGGGCCTGTTAAAAAAAAAAAACATCTGTGGGTCTCATGTAAGTCTATGAGTGTCTATATGAGGCTGTGGGTCTCTATGTGAGTCTATGGATCTCCATGTGAGTCTATGGGTCTTTATGTGAGTCTGTGGGTCGTTATGTTAGTCTGTGGGTCTCTATGTGAGACTGTGGGTCTCGGTGCATCTGTGGGTCTCCGTGTGAGTCTGTGGGTCTCTGTGTGAGTCTGTGGGTCTCTGTGTGAGTCTGTGGGTCTCTATGTGATTATCTTGGTCTCCACGTGAGTCTGTGGGTCTCCGTGTGAGCCTGGGGCTTGCGTGGGTGAGAGACGGGTGTGTCTTGTTGTGGTCGTTATTATTATTTTTGTTTAGTTTGCTTATTTTTTCTGATCGAACAAAGCCCTCGCTCTGAATCGGGGCCTTTGCTTGAAACATCAGCCGAGTGGAGGGAATATTTTTTTTACTTTCTCTAAGTTGGTGGAAATGGCGAACGCGGTGAGTGATGGGTGGTCCACCGCCACCGCCGAAGGGCTGCTAAAAAAACGACCTTTTCGCCCTGCGAGAAATCCCCACCACCTTAATTTCATCTCGTAACTTTTTTTTGTCTCTCTCTCTCTCTCCCCTCCCACGTGTTATGTCCGTCGACGCCGGCGCGCTCGGCGAATCACAAAAAAACGGCACCCTCGTCGTATCTCTCGGTGCAGCCGATTTCGGTTGAAAGCAGGCGACGCGGCCGGCCCGTCTTCGCGACGCTGCCGCGGCGATATGCCCGTATCCGTGGCGACAGTCGGTGCCCGCTTGTGCCGGGAGTGGGGTGGTGGGGGAGGTTTGCCACCCCCGGAGTGACGACCAACGCCAAACTCCGGAAGGATCGACCTCAAACCCGTGCCTCGTCCAGCTCGCGGAAGCGAAAACCCAGGTCGAGAGCGGCCGAGCGGAGCTATGCAAGACGCGCAAATCGAAAGCGCTCGCGGCGTCAACGTGCCAAGCCATCAGCCGAGACTCCGAAGTTGCGTCGAACAGTGCTAACCGTATATCACTGAGCATCAGGTAGCCGCGCCTCTTGCCGTGTTCTCGTGCCCCCGCGTTCTAATGCCCCCCCCCCAAAATTACTTTATTACGAGATTTTTCCCTTGAGGTGTTTCGTTGTGTGGTCTCACAACAACACCCCCTACTACTACTGCTGCCTAATAATAGCAACAATAATGTGCATGCAAATGAACACGTAATTACAGAGCGCAAAAGCAATATTCAGCTAAACTTTAAAGATTGCACTGCGAAAAAAAGGAAAGGCACTAACAATATTGCTGCTGCTGATGCTGCTGCTGACGCTACTACTACGGGTCGGGATTTGGGGGCACGTGTCTTTATCTCGTGTCTTTGTCCTCGTGTTTAACACCGTGTCTAACACCGTGTCTAACACCGTGTCTGAGCTCATATACGAATGTGTGTCGGTGCGCGCGAGATCAATCAGCTCAGTAGTGGCGGAGGGGGGGAGGTGGTGGCGCAGTGGTTAGCACGCTGCGCTACGAAGCCAGCAACCAGAGTTCGATTCCCGCTCACGACCAATAACAGCGGCGATTCATTGGAACCGCTCCTGGGTCTCCCCGAAGTGATCACCTGCTGCGGTGTGCAAACATCAGCACTGGGGAGACAAAGGCGGCCGTGCATGATGCTGGCCACCCACCCACTCCCTTGTCGCGCTCTGTCGGCCTTCGTAGGTGCTACTCGCTAATAGCACTTTGCCCCAACGGTCCTTGCAAAGGCTCTACGGGGGATCTTTGTGTGTGTGTGTTTGCGTAATAGTTGAACGGCATAAAGGAAACCAGGCGCTGTGTGGTGCCTTTTTGTCTGAAGTGCGGGAACTCTCGTCCCTAGCGACCACCCCCCCCCCCCTGCTCTCGGTTGCCCAGGGATTGCGTATCACAGATTAGCCAAAGAGAAATTAGACTCCGTCCCCCCCCCCCCCCCCCCCCCCCCCCAGTAACATTCGTTCGCGCCGATGTTAAATCGTAGACACTGAACCTCGGTGAATGTCGTGAATCGTTGAGGCTGCTTCTCACAGCCCTCCCCCCCGGATTACAGCACGGTTTGCCCGCGTACGGCGCAAAATAATTGTCAACGCGCGCGTACTTCACGGCTCTCCTGCTACCTTGCACTTGGCGTTCACGCGGAAGCCTCGTGCCGGGCGTTCGTCACGACCTCAAGAGTCGTCGGCACGCGCGTAAAGCCGCCGGTGAACAGCGGTCACCCCGGCACGGACGACAGCGGCGTCACTTTCTAAACGTTTCCCTGCGTAGGTCGCTCGCCTCCCCCCCCATCAGAATGAGCCGAAATGGGATGGGAAATGTGATGGTGCCAGATCATGGGCTGCTTGGGTGCGATGGGACGCACAGGCAAAACCTGAAGGCGATCCTCGTTGTGGGCTCTGAAAATGTTGTTATCTGACAACTGCTCTGGAGGAAGAGGCGGAGGAGGAGGGCTGCCACCCTAAATTCTGGATGTTTTCACCAATTACGGACTTTCAGTTTCTTCATCGAGGATATTAATGGGAGGCATTCTTTCGGGGCGGGCGCAGGCGGGGGGGGGGGGTCTGTGGCTTCTGTCGTAATTAAAGGTTCATTAATTAAGTGCGCTCTCAAGCGACGCCAGTGACGACCGCCTTATGAATTGTAGTCGTGGCTTGGGGTAGGCGCAGGTGCCCGTCGTGCCTTCTTGCCAGTCCCGTGCGTGTCCGCGCTCGCCGCCGCACGCGATCGCTCGGTGGCGATAACCGCACGTGACGTTCGTTCGCGGGTTTTTTTGCGACGTGTAACTTATTGTGTGCTTCAACCTCCCCCCCGCCTCTTCGTGCCAGGTCTCTCTCGCGTTGCAATGCCGGGGGTCTGCGATGTCACCGGCAGGGTCGAGGCTTTCGCCGATTCCAAATGTGCGCAATGCACATTTGGATGTTCTTCCCAGGAAGAAGCGGTGGGTGGGTTTCGTGGGTTGGGCGGAAATCAGTCCGGCGGCTCGTGTCTTTGTGGCTTTTTTAAAGCCGCGCCACCCTTTTTAGATTGCGCAAGCCTTCTTCGTCCGTGCACTTTATCGCTGCGCGTTGTGCTAACCGAGTGTTCGTTTACCCCGACTTGCGTTTAATGCTTCAACCACGTGCTCGGTGCGCGGATCCGGATCGGTGCGACCACAAATCCACTCCAGGTTTTAACCAACGCGGGGGGAGGGGGGGGCGACTGAAGGCCACCCCGGATTAGAATCCGGTCAACTTTATCGTTAAACTTTTTTTTGCATTCACCCACTACACGGTTCGCGCCTTTAGCTGTAAAACCCGGAACGGAGTGGGTCACCGCCCCCCCCCCCCCCCCCCCGCACCGACCTGGAGCCACGAGCAGGATGCTGGACTTTAAAATAATAAAGAGCGTGCTTCAAAAAAATGTTAACACTTATATGGGACTGTCGTTTTTATTGGAAAAATAACGGATAATAAATACACTGTAGCATGATAACAAATGTATGTTAATAGCTTCAAAAGTCAAAACAGTCTTCACTTGTTCGCCATCGTTGTCAACGCGTTGCCTGGAATCTTCTACAGGTGGTCTCCATAGCCCGAAGGCGGCACATTTCTCGTGGTATTGTTGCAAATTCTCGGAAGTGTTAACATTTTTTTGAAGCATCCTGTATATTTAAAACGGATGTCGCTGCCGACGCGTAAATTAGCCAGAGTTGTTCTCTGTTTGTGACGAGTGTTGTGGTGGTGGTGGTCGTGGTGGTGGCCGTTGTAACGCGTTACAGAGTCCTCTTCAATAAAAGTGATTGAGTTCTGTGTTTCTGAGTGCCCCCCCCCCTCTCTCCTCTCTTGAATTCAACTCCTTCATGCAAACCACAAGGCTGTGATCATTAACCCACCGAAAGTAATCGAGATAATTTGCCTGCCATAAAGTTCCACGTGATAAGTCGACACTTTGTTGAGCCATCATTAGTGGCGAGGACGTTTTTGAAAAATTAACCAGTAAAAACAAAGTTTTTCACTATAAATCCTTTATATGCGTGGCATCGGTTTTATTTTATTATTCATTTCAGTTTTTCTTGAGTAAGAGTTTCATTTTTATCACATTGGTATTTTAAATTAAATATGAAATTTATTTTTTCCGAAAAGTGGAAAAGTTTGGAATTTTTTTTCACGAAAATAAATTGTCACGCACAACGAGTCTGTGTGCAAAATGTCAGCTCGATTTGATCACGGGAAGTGGATTAAAAACGACCGAAAGATTTGCACGGTCGTAAGCGCGCAAGCAAGCAAGCAAGTGAACTTAATATAAAGGATTTAAAAAATGAAACTCATAGCTCAGTGGACCTTACCTTGAAAAAAAAATAGTTTGAGGTTTTTTTTGTGCGTGATTTGCTTACCCGCTCCTACGCTTTGCACTCATATCGTGTTTGTTGTTGCAACTTTCTAATCCTACCCGACTGGACATATGTGTTCTAGATTTGAAGCTTTCGTGACTGCAAGGAATCATAGTCTTAGGTGTTTTCGGTAAAGTCACGTAGGTAAAAATAAATTAAATAATAAATAATAGACATAATAATAGAAATAAAATAAAATAATTATTAAAGTAAAATAAATATTTTATTTCTATTATTATTTGTATTTTTTATTATTATTTTATTTTTCCCCTACGTGACTTTACCGAAAAAAAACTAAGAGTATGGACATGTGTGAACAAAGAGCTTTATAGCTCATTGTATTCCTCCTGCAGTGTCAGTATTCTGATTCTGACATCATTGTGTAGGGGCACGCGGGGCCACAGTGGACACTTTCACACTGACACGTCCCCACGACCAACACTTGATCCCTCACTGCAAGTAACACGGCCGCACTAATCGGGTACTCGAGAGGAGGATGTGGATATGTTCAACCCGGCAATTCACTTTTAAGGGACTCTTGCAGTGGAAAAGAAGCGATAGGTATGTTAACTGGAGTCAAATAGTAAGTATTACATTTCTATTTAAAGCTTTCGTGACTGCAGGGATTCATCTTCTTGGTTCTTTCGGTAAAGCCACGCAGAAGGGAAATAATAAAATAATAAAAATAAAACATAAAATAATTCTCACGACGTTTTTGAGGACGGCTGCTTGCGTTGTGGCCGAAAAGTCGTGAGAGTTATTTTATTATGTTTTATTTTTATTATTTTATTATTTCCTTTCTACGTGACTTTACCGAAAGAACCAAGAAGAGAAATTGTAAGTATGTGAACTTCTTTCGCACCGTACGTAGCCAACCGTGCGAATCGGAGGTGCGGGGGAAGGACGACAATCTAGAACACAACTAGCAGTTCTTAACGAGAATATATTCGCAATTAACGAGAATATGCTAACAATAATGGAAACACATTCCTGCGGAGGGAGCCGGTAGGAACGTTGGGTTGCTCGGTCAATGGCCAGGGTCAACGGCGGCGTGGTGTATTCCGCAAATATGCCCGACTGTGAGGGCGGGCACAAGCCGGCGTGAGTAGGTTAAACGTTGAGTTTTATAAGGGCACCACGGGGTGACCAGCCCCTCCGCACCCAGCCCCACCCTTGCAGCCACGAAAGCTTCAAATCTGAAACATACGGGACGGATCTATTCGTTCTTAAGTCGAACGTTCGTAAGTCGACGAGTCTCTTATATGCTAATCGCGGTGATGTCGTCACGCGTCAACGCCGACCTCCCATTGGTTGCGGCGGTGATGGGCGGGGCATGTGGGCGGGGGAAGGTACCGCGCGATATTGTGGGATGGCGGCCCACATTACTTAAGCCTGCCGCGTAACTCCCCGTACGCTTTCTCGTGCAAAAATGCTTTTAATGTAACAACAATTACACGCGAACAAAAACTAAACTCGATCGGCGGCAACTAGTGTCGGTACGAGCGAGTCGTCGGCGTCGCGTCTCAAAGGGACTCTCGTTTGAGTTGTTTGAGCCTTATTTGGAGTGTTCATACGGGTAGGCCTCGTCGGAGCCTTACGTGTTTCCTGAGCAGCCTGCCCGCGGTCATGTGAGACCGGCGAGCCGCGGGGACCCGGGACCCGCACCTCGGGGGGGGGGGGGGGGGTCGTTGGACGCTCACGAAAGCTGTCGGTCTCATACATACGGAAATATATACATGGACACATATACACTTTAATAGCTCCACAACTATGTGCACGTACATATACGTTTAAAGTATAGTGTACATACACGTAGACACGAATACAAATGCTATTACGGTACAGTCATAACTACACGCATAACGACACAATCATACAAACACTTCTTTCATAGACACGCACAGACACCTCCACACAGTTGTACACCCGAACAGACACGTCCATACACACCTACACACTCGTCCGACGAGTCACACACCTACAAAATATACCCAGACACACCTACACAATATACCCAGACACCTACACACACGTGTTCTCTCGCATACCTACACAATATACCCAGACACACCTACACACGTGTACTCACACACCTAGACACACACACCTACACACGTGTACTCGCACACCTAGACACACAAACCTACATACACGTGTACTCACACACCTACACTATACCCAGACACACACACCTACACACGTGTACTCACACACCTAGACACACAAACCTACATACACGTGTACTCTCAAACACCTACACAATATACCCACACACACAATATACCCAGACACACCTACACACGTACTCACACACCTAGACACACACCTATACATACACGTGTACTCACACACCTAGACACACACACCTAGACACACACACCCACACACACGTATTCTCTCACACACCTACACAATATAACCAGACACACACCTACACACGTGTACTCACACACCTAGACACACACCTACACACACCTGTACTCACACACCTAGACACACACACCTACACACACCTGTACTCTCACACAGCTACACAATATACCCAGACACACACCTACACACGTGTACTCACACACCTAGACACACACACCTACATACACGTGTACTCACACACCTAGACACACACACCTACATACACGTGTACTCTCACACAGCTACACAATATACCATCCGCCATGCTTCGCCGCGCCAGAATCAGCGTGAAGCCGAACGTTCGTCCCAGCACGGGCCGGGCGGGAGCCGGCATCCTCGAGGCAGGCAGCCGGGACCGCGGGGGACAGAAAGCCGAGGGAGCCGAGGTAGCCGGGGAAGCTCCCGAGGCGACGCCGGCAGCTCCAGAGACTCAAGCCGCCACGTCACGGACACCACCAAGCCGGACTGTCGAGACAGACTCCGAACGCCGGCTACCGGAGGAGGCTGCTGCTGCTGCTGCTCCGGCCACTGCGACTCCTGCTGCTGCTGTTGCTCCTACTAAACTGATTGCTTCTCCTGCTGCTCCTGTTTCTTCTACTTCTACCACTGCTTCTTCAGTTGCACCTATTGCTGAAGCTGGTACCTCTACCGCTGCTGCTAGTTCTGGTCTTGTTGCTTCCACTGCTGCAGCTGTTGCTCCTGATGTCTTGATTCCTCTGGGTGCTGCTAATCTCGTTGCGTCTGCAGATGACAACGCTGCTGCTGCTGATGATGTAGTTGCAACGCCTGCTGCATCTGTTGATGCCGATGCAGACGTTGTTACTTCAGCTGCCCCACTCACTTCTGTCACTCCACATTCCAGCCCTTCGATTGTTGCTGTACCTCCGACTCTTGCTGCTACTGGTGCTGCAGTTCCTTCTGCAGACCTTGCACATTCAGCTGCATCTAATCCTGCCGCACATTCTCCGCCATCTGCTCATATCGTTACTGCTCCACCTGTTGCTATTTCTCTTCTTACTGAAACTATTTCTGCAATTACTCCTACAACTACTGCTGCTGCATCATCTACTGCTGCGTGCAGTGCTGCACGCTCGCAGCAGCACGCCACGGCAGGAGATGAGCCAATGCGCCCGGGCCCTGACTCCAATTTGCTTTCTTCATCTGCTGATGCCTTCGAAGAAGCCACAACGTTGTCGATTGCTGCTGCTGCTTCTGCGCGCCACCACCGCAGGTGTGCGAGTTTGCAGAGGTCGACACTGGCGTTCGTTGCGTCGTTCCCTGATGTTGCGTCGTATACACATTGTCACTGGGGAGACAAAGGCGTGGTTCTAGCCAGTGCCCGATTATAAAGGGGCCCTAAATAAAAACACTTAAACATTAAAATACAAAATTTTTACTTGCACAGTAAAGTTATTGTATTTTTTCATTTGATATACAGCCAGATAATAGACAAATCGCGAACCTTAAACACCCAGTCGTTCATAAAAGTTGAAGGCAGTATAGTACTATAGTAATAGAGCAAGTGCAGAATCACTGAACCGGAATTGATAGCTTGAAAGCATTTAGCGCGGGGCCCTTTAAAGTGCGGGGCCCGTAGCTACATGTGTAGCTACTTTTGCGACTAGGATAATCCGGCACTGGTTCTAGTCACATCACCCTCCGCTCGTGTGAAGTTCAGCTGGCCTGAGGTGGTTGGCTGGTGGCTCTTGAGGCAACAAGTTGCTACGGCTGTCATGGGTGGGGGGGGGGATTCTTGCAATTCGTGGGTGGTGATGCAGTGCAGCAGTTAGGTTGTCTAATTTTGTGGATGTGTGTGTGTGTTCGCCCTTCCTGGCATGTATGGCTTTTTTCATCTCATGGGTGTACACATATATATACACACACGATGCTTAAAAAAAATGTTAACACTTCCGAGAATTTAAAACAATATCACGAGATGTGCCTCCAGGCTTCTGGAGACCACCCGGAGAAGATTCCAGGCATGTGTTGGCAATGATGGCGAACAAGTGGAGACTCTATTAGACTTTTTGAAGCTATTAACATACATTTGTTATCATGTTACAGTGTATTATCCGTTCTTTTTCCATTATAAGCGTTAGTCCCGTATAAGTGTTAAAACTTGAAGCACTCTGTACATAAATGAATGGAATTGGTCAATCATACCAAAGCAGGTCCCTCCTCAAAAAAAATATTTTAAGATTTCGATTTAAAGCTTTCGTGACTGCAGGGATTCATCTTCTTGGTTCTTTCGGTAAAGTCACGTAGAAGGGAAATAATAAAATAATAAAAATAAAACATTAAATAATTCTCGCGACGTTTCGGCCACAACGCAAGCAGCCGTCCTCAGGTGAAGAACAGGTCTGTCGGAAAGACAGTGTCTGAATGACACACGATGCTTAAAAAAAATGTTAACACTTCCGAGAATTTAAAACAATATCACGAGATGTGCCTCCAGGCTTCTGGAGACCACCCGGAGAAGATTCCAAGCATGTGTTGGCAATGATGGCGAACAAGTGGAGACTCTATTAGACTTTTTGAAGCTATTAACATACATTTGTTATCATGTTACAGTGTATTATCCGTTTTCCATTAAAGACGTTAATCCTATATAAGTGTTAAACAAAACTTGAAGCACCCTGTACATAAATGAATGGAATTGGTCAATCATCCCAAAGCAGGACCCTCAAAAATAATATTTTAAAACTCCATCATTGGTTTCCTGGGTAATACTACAAATAATCTATGGCCTTGGTGAATCCACCGCTTGATGAAAGCTCCACGCTGCGTCGGACGTGGAAATTATTAGATCGTACTAAACCTGCGGGTGTGTGAAGCTGGGGGTGGCTCCGATCTCATGCCTTTGTTTTGACAGCGCCCGTGCTCCCGCCACCGCTGCCGCCGCCGCCACCCCCTCAAGACCGGACGCTGGAAAGCTGCTGCCGCAGTCTCGCCGTAAGCGCCTGTCCGCCGCGCCGATCATCCCTCGCACCCGGGCAGCCGCTCACGCTCCTGTTCCAGCCGGTCCTGCCAAGAAACCACCGGCCTCGCTTCCTGCCGAGAATGGGACCGCCAGCAAGCTCACCGCCGCAGCCACCGTCGAAGGACCTCGTGACCCGTGGGGGTTGTCGACCAGTGAGGCATCCGGTGAAGTGTCGCCGGCATTGCCCGTCAAACCGCCTACCGGCGAGACGCAATATTCACCGGTTGGCCCCTCGGGTGCGGATGCAGTGGAGGCGGTGGACCATGCACAGGAGGTATATGAAAGGTCACCAATGGTGCCTGACTGGCGTGTGACGGATAGTGAAACTCCTGGCCCGGTAACTTTAGCACAGCTTGGAGTGAGCGCTCAGGAACCGGCAAGCGGGGCAGTGAAGTGTGCTGCTACTATCGGAGCCGATGCCGAAACGCCACCGGTAGCGCAATCAGCAGAGGTTTCCGGAGCTCCCGGGAGCACCGCAGCTTTGCCGGGCAGGCCTGCGGAGCCGAGCAGGAGTGAGATTTCAAAGAAGCTGCTAGCGTCGCTGAAGAAGAGCCTGCTGAAGCCGCCGGCATTGTCGGTGAAGGCTGCACCGGCGGGAGCCGATGACGACGACGACTACGACGACGACTCCGGGACGGCGGTGGTGACCGCGCGAGATGGCTCGGCACGGCCTGGGACCGCCGGTGGTGCCGGTGGTGGTGGGGGAGGCGGAGGAGGGGCGAGCGGGACCAATGCTGGCAGGACCCAACCAAGGCCCAACTTTAAAAAGTCGTCGCGTACGGTGCAAAAGACAGCTCGGGAGCTGGCTGAGAAGACCGAGGCTAAGAAGGTACCGTGAAAACACTAAGGATGGAGACCCCATATAGAAACCCATAGGTTCACATACGAACCCACAGACTCGCATAGATGCGTAGACTAACATAAAGAACCTTAGACTCGTAGACTCGCATAGATAGCCTTAGACTGAGTTGTGATTAAACCGGGTTCTTACTTGTGGTGAGTTGATGGTCTCAGCCTCATCACCAATGACTGAACAATAAATCCATCACATTAAATGTTCCCCCATTGGAACCTTTTGGCGTCATCTGGTCCAACCCATGTGAGATTAGGCTCTAAGGAAAGTTGTCTCGGGTGTGGACCAATCAACTTCAAGGACAGTGCATACATTATCAGAGTTATGTTTTTTGTTTGCATTATGACTGCAGGTATTGTGGTCTATGCAAACATGACTCCTTGTAAAAAAGGTGTCAGTTTTGTTGCCAGATAGAAGGGTAAAAAACCAATTATCACATTAAATGTTGTTGTACGTATGTGTCTTGAACTTCTGTCCCACTGTAGTAGCCAACCTGTGTTTATCGGAGGTGCAGGTTCTGCATTTAGCTGTGCACTTAATTTGGTAAAATTCTGGCTGTGAGGCTTAAAATGTTTGTTTGATTCACATACAATAAACGCTCATGGCAGGACATGTAAAAGATGTGCCCCCTTGTGTGGATAAAGTGGATAGAGGGGCCTATTGAAAGTGACATCAGCAGTAGTTATGCCATGTCAAGTTTCGGAACAACGAGCGGAGCGCCGGGCGGCTAAAACACAGGGAGTTGGTGCATCGGCCGGTCATCTCAGGCAATCAACCCATGGCACCTGGGTATGCCCCGTGACCTGCCAGCGGGCATTCGACACTTCACGTGGCGGCCTTATAGTGCACATTGCCTGGCACAAGCGCCGTGGTGACGTCACCGCCACTTAGTGGTGCAATGGCAGTTGTTGTTGTGAGTACCCGGTGAGTCAACGGATGGCCGTGCGTGGTGGCCGGCCTTCATGTAGGTGATGTAGGTGCTACTCGCTAACAGGGTGGGGATCTTTTTCTCTTTGTGTCGTGTGGTGGGGGGCAGGCTGCCCGCAAGCTGGCGTGGCGCACGTGGGAGCAGCACCAGTCGGCCCCCGACCGCTCGCAGATGACGATGAAGGACCTGCTCTACTGGGTGCCCAGAAACAACCCCATGCTGTGAGTAAAGCAACCCCACGCTTCGCAAAGGAGTATGGAGCACACTCGCATTTGTGCATCGGTTATTGATCGTTGGGAGGCGAGGCCATGCGGCGATTCGGGCAAAATTTCGTGTGCGGTAAGGAATAAGTTCCCCCCCCAACCTCCCTATACAGGCAAACGTGGCGTGAAAGCATGTGACGCGCCGGTTATTGCCGTTTTCACCTCCTCCGCTAAGTTGGAAGAACAATTCTCACAATGGAATTTCGCGAAGAGATACCAACGACGTTTCGCTGGAAACTGTACCGAGCTTCTTCGGGGAAAGATACAGGAAGTCAGAATAACTGTGTCACCTGACCCGGCCTCTGAAATTGGTGTCATGACATCACAGGAATTATCAATGTGATGTAAACTAGTTATTAACCATAACATATTCTAATTGTATTGCTAATTATCTGCGCCAAGGATTAACACCGTACGCATTATTCATTATGACTGCCACGGTGGCAAGTATTAACTACCTCGCCTGTTATACAGGAGGTCGTGGGTTCGATCCCGACTCTGACACCTGCATATTTGGAGTTTGTGTGTTCTCCCCGTGGTTGTGTGGATTTTCTCTGGGTCCTCCGGTATTTGGCTGCTATAAATTGCCACGCGATAAGCCACTTTGTGGCCAGGTTGTTCATGAAAAAGACCTATACAGCTCAGTGGGCCTTACTTGGTCAAATAAAAATGGTTTACTAGTTTTATAGTTTGAATATACTAGCCTGTACATAACATTGGCTGCTCAGATCTGCGTGTTAGTGTTAACTTGCGTTTGTGTTCTACTCCTTGGCCTTTGCCCCGTTCGCTGGTGGTCGCGACCTTGGTTCACCTCCACTATTCTCGGTTTGCGGCCACACTCTTAGTTGGCATCAGTACAGCGGCTGCTGGGGTCACGCGAGCCGATTACATACAACGTGTGTACAGGTCCAATGCAATCGATTCTCTCGCTAGCGATTTCAAGCCTACACGACGAGCGTAAGATCATACTTTCGTTGACTAATCGGTGCGCCATCAGACAACTGGTTTTAATCAAGGCTTAACTTGTCAATGAATATGTATCTGGGTCGCTGGTAGACTTGGAGTAGGCTGCACGTGACTCGTAGTAGCCACAGCTGTAGCCAAATTAGGATGTCGTGTGCCGGGTGCGGAAATACTTTCTGTGGTCACTGACCCGGCTGAAATTAAGCCCAGGTTTAAACCACACCCCCCTCCTATCCCCGCTCACCATTCTCCCGTCTGCGCTTCGCTCTCAGCCGTCTCAAGTCGGAGGATGGGAAGCTGCTGCCGGAAAAGCGCTTCGACAAGTACCCCAAGGGCGATCGGTCGGCGGCTCACGGCGACGGCGGCAGCGGCGGCTCCCTCGAGCTGACCCCTCCTGACGGCCCCACCTCCCCGCTGCCGCCGCTGCCACCCCCGGATTGTTCGAACGATCCGGCTCCTTCCCCGAGCCCCGCTGCCGCTCCCGCCGCCGGCGTCCCTGCTCCTCCGTCCGACGCCGCCGCCGCCGCTGCCTCGAACGCGTCTGTCCCGTCCACCCCGTGCGCGCCGGCGTCGAGCGACTCGCCAGCGGACGTCTCTCCGGCGGCGGCAGCTGCGCCGTCGCTAAGCCCCGCGGGCGACGCGCAGTCGCTGCTCGTGCCGCAGGTCAGGGTCGCCGAGGACGGCTCCATCGTGCTCAACGAGGACAGGCAAGTGAGCGGTCCGCCTGTCTGCTCGTCCGCTCGCCTACCCGTCCGTCCGTTTGCCTGCTTGCTCACCTGCTCGCCTGCTTATGCCCCTCATCCAATCGTTTGCTCACCTGCCATGACATCTGCTCACCCCGATTTTGCACAATTTCTTACCCACCAAGTCGCCCAACAGGCCACCCGCTTGTCCAAGTAAACTCGAGCTCACTCTATAAAGTAATTTTTTTTTATTTTACTAGGTAAGGCCCACTGAGCTATGAAGCTCGTTTTCAGAAGCGACCCGTATCCGGCCGGGTACGGGTACGGATACGCTTCCCGTACCCTACCCGAAATGAGTGACAAACGGTTACTCACCGGTGACTCACGGCCTACCCGTACCCGGCCGCACCAGGGTCGCAAACGGGTACCCGTACCCGGCTGGGTACGGGTAGCCGGGTATCGGGTAGGGTACGGGTATCGGGTACCCGGTTGCGACCTCTGAGCAGTGGTCGGTCTCTCTCCTCGGTCGTCATTGTGACCCCGTCAGTCGAGGCCAACTGCCTCCCTGGACAACTTGCTGCGGTTAAGCACTGGCACAAGGAAGGATGGGCCTGTGCGTTTGTTGTGTGTGTGGAGAGCTGCAGCGTCGCGGCTTAGCGCACCGCGCTACGAACCGAGTAACCAGAGTTAAATTTCCACTCACGGCCAAAATCGGTGACAAGCGAACTGGTCTTGCGCCTCCCCGGGCAAGGTGCTGGCCAACCACCGCCTCGTTTGCCGTGCGGGCCTTCATAGGTGTCGCTCGCTAACATCGCTCGCCTTTGTGTGTTGCGGCAGCCTGATGGTGGAGGTGTCGCGCACGGAGGGGCTGCCCCCCGTGTCGGACTGCGACCCCATCCACGAGTACGGCTCCCACACCACCTACTCGAGCTTCCGCAAGAGCTACCACGCCAAGCAGTGGGGCCTCCTAGGTAACGGTGACGCGCACACACACACTCACAAACACAAAGATCCCCCCTTCACAGACTGCTGGGGCAAGTGCTGTCGCCTTTGTCTCCCCAGTGGCGATGTTTACACAGGGCAGCGGGGACTCGCACCACCAATTAGCACGGTTGGCTACGTACGGTGCGAAAGAAGTTCAACGTAATACATACTGCACATAGACTAACACTACCCATAGACCAACACTACCCATAGACTCAACACTGCCCATAGACTCAACACTACCCGTAGACTCAACACTACCCATAGACTCAACACTACCCATAGACTCAACACTGCCCATAGACTCAACACTACCCGTAGACTCAACACTACCCATAGACTCAACACTGCCCATAGACTCAACACTACCCATAGATTCAACACTGCCCGTAGACTCAACACTACCCGTAGACTCAACACTGCACATAGACTAACACTACCCATAGACCAACACTACCCATAGACTCAACACTACCCATACACTCAACACTACCCATAGACTCAACACTACCCATAGACTCAACACTACCCATAGACTCAACACTGCCCATAGACTCAACACTACCCATAGACTCAACACTGCCCGTAGACTCAACACTGCCCGTAGACTCAACACTGCCCGTAGACTCAACACTGCCCATAGACTCAACACTGCCCGTAGACTCAACACTGCCCATAGACTCAACACTACCCGTAGACTCAACACTGCCCATAGACTCAACACTGCCCGTAGACTCAACACTACCCATAAAATCAACACTACCCATAGACTCAACACTACCCATAGACTCAACACTACCCATAGACTCAACACTACCCATAGACTCAACACTGCCCATAGACTCAACACTACCCGTAGACTCAACACTGCCCGTAGACTCAACACTGCCCATAGACTCAACACTGCCCATAGACTAAACACTACCCATAGACTCAACACTGCCCATAGACTCAACACTACCAATAGACTCAACACTGCACCATAGACTCAACACTGCCCAAAGACTCAACACTACCCATAGACTAATACTCCACCATAGACTCAACACTACCCATAGACTCAACACTGCCCGTAGACTCAACACTATCGCTCCCTATGGGTAGGTACCAACACACACACACGCACGTGGTCGTACGTGCATCTTCTGTTCCTGATCACGTTGTGGTTGTTGTGGTTGTTGTTGTTGTTGGTTGTGCAGAGACCGAGCTGTTTTTCCTGGCCATCAGCATGGTCGGCATGGACTTCTCCATGATCGGACAGCTCTTCCCCAACCGCTCGCGCGTCGACATCAAGGTGGCGTCAGGGTTTGCACGGTTACACAAACTCACTTCAGCGTTGCCCCCGCTTGCTCGCCCGTGCGTGTGCGTGTGTGCGCGCGTGTGTGTGCGCGCGTGTGTGTGTGCGTGTGTGCGCGTGTGTGCGTGCGTGCGCGTGTGTGCGTGTGCATGTGTGCACGTGTGTGTGCGCGTTCGTGAGGAGCGGTGGCGCAGCGGTTAGCGCGCTGCACTCCGAACCCGGTGACCCGAGTTCGATTCCTGCTCAAGGCTAACACCAGTGAAGATTATCTGAAGCCTCCCCTAGGTCGACTCAGCCTTAAATGAGTACCTGGTGCGGTGTGTAGTAAACATCGCCACTGGGGGAGATAAAGACGGCCGGCCATTGTTGCTGGCCACCCCACTCCCTCGTGTGTCGTCGCGGCCTTCATAGGTGCTCGCTAACAGCACTTGCCCCAACAGTCTGTTAAAGGCTACACGGGGGGGGGGGACCTTTGTCTTTGTGTGTGTGAATCCGCAAAGCACGTTCATCGGACGTCCTCTCTTCCCGCAGAACAAGTTCAAGCGCGAGGAGCGGTGCAATCCCCGCAAGATCGACCAGGCTTTCCGTGAGTCCCTCGTTACTTGCTCGGGCTCCGGCATGACGTGCACATCGGATCTCCACGTGGCTGCGATCAAACATCAAACGTCCGAACATCGGCCCTATTGGCTCTCCAGACAGATGTTACCCACCAGCATTTTTGTTTTCACGAATCAAACTCCGGAGCAGTTATCCACCTTTTTCCGGGGTGTCATCATCGGCAGAGGAACACAAAAACGTCAAAGTTGCAACGCGCGCCGCTCGCCATTCGCTCGCTCCCGACGGAGCCAGAGAACGAGTCGGAGGTACGAGGAGGAAACCGCGGACAAGCGGCGAGAGAGGGCAGCGTACACACGAGACGGACAACAAAAACGAATTGGGATGATAAAAAAAACGGTCCTTGAGCGGAAGCACGGACCTTGGCGTCGTGACATTTCGTCCGACGTTTTCAACGTGTTGTTGTTTGACTTGCATCCCACTGGGATTTTTGCACACAGCGTTGGTGTACGGTGTTTTTTTCTGCAATATTTTGCTGTCTTTTCTTGGATTTTCTGTTTCCACTTAGTCACATGTTCACTTTAAGATATTTTTTGTAATAAATGAACTTGAACTTGAAAAGCTGACGGGTGCCGCGCACGTAAGCACGCTTGGAATCGTGTCGCTAGCACCGTCGGGAAACTGCGATGGCTTGGGGAAATCCTTCGTCCAGCAGCGGGCATATCTTTTGTCCGTTGTTTTGATTTGTTTCCGTGTTGCAGGCAACAAGTTGCCGCTGGACGTGTCGTGCTTCGAGACGCTGCTGCAGGAGTTCGAGCGGCAGAAGACGGAGGCGCTCAATCGGGCGCCCGACTCCAAGGGCAGGCGGCGGCGCAAGTACCACCCAAAGAGTGAGCGTGCGATGTTTTCATTTATGGCTCGAGCAATCCGATGAGCTACGAAGCTCTTTCTCACAGATGTCCAGGAGAGGGGCGGTTCCCGGAGGGGCTGTTTCACCGCGCCACCACCGCCGTCGCTTCTTTCCGTTTCACCGCCGCGCCTCCGCCCCGCAAGCCGGGGGTGGGGCCCACCGGCGGCAGCTGCCCCCGTGAGGCACTTGGTGAAGAACGCGGCGCCAGCCAGGAAAGAGTGGGCGTTTGTTTCTCATCACCGGGGGTGGGGTGGGTGGCGGGGGGACGAATGTGGCTTTGCCCACGGACGTCGTGGGATCTTTAACGCCCTCTGTGACGTAGACTCGGCGCGTATTTTTAACGTCCGCGGTATTAACCAGGACGGCCGCTGGGCTCGAACCGCCGCCATAACACCTCCGTGCGGTGTTTCAGCACCGCGTGGAGAAGGGAGGGGTGGGTCTGCCTCTCTTTTTTATCCCCTCTGTCTCGTCCCCTGGGGTTTCTCCCGATGTCGTTTGTATTTCCTGTGAATGTCGTGGCGTTCTTAAGTCTCGTCGTCGTCGTCCTCACGCCGCGTCCGCCGGTCCTGCGACAGAGACGGGGCGACGCAGGAGCGACGCGGACAGCGACGACGGCGACGCCGACTGCTGGAGCGAGAGCGGCGGCGAGAGCGGGACCGGAGCGGCGGCCACCGAAACCCGAGCCAGAACCGCCGCCCAGAGCGCGACGGAGAGAGCGATCGGAGCGTCGGCTGCCACCCAAAACGGAATCGGAACGGAAATCCGAACCGGGACCAGAACCGTCACCGAAACTCAAACGGGAACCGAGACGCCGACCGGAACGGCGACTCCAGGAACCGGAGGGTCCACGGCGGTCCCCGAGCCCCCGCCGCCCCCCCCCGCGCCCAGTGGCCTGGAGGAGGCGGAGCTGCTGCTGTCGCTGGGCTGCGAAATCGCTCGCGGCGCCGGCGCCGGCACGGGCGCGGATGCGGGCGTCCCGGCGCCGGAACCGTCCCCCGAGTTGGTGGTGGAATCGGCAGAACGCCGAGACGAGCGCAGTGGGGGTGACGAAGACATCGACGACGAAGAAGATTTTGAGCGTGTCAAAGAGAGGATGTTGAGTCACCCGACGAGGTGAGGTTCTGGCGAGCGAGCGTCGTCGGTTAAAACGACAAGAAATGTTGTGCATGGGGTGGTGGGCCAGGTGGCTCAGAGAGGGTCAGGGCATTGGGCCGGCACCGCTGAGATCCTGGGTTCAAACTCAGGTCACAGCTGCCTGTCATTAAACTGGGTTCTCAAGGTTGTGTGATTTGGTGGTCTCGGCCCTGTCACCAGTATATAAAACGTCGCGTTTAAGTTTGTTTATTTTCTTAATTCGGTTAAATTCCAACTCCTGTGAACAGAAAATATTACTCTGAATGTCAGGCAACAGCAGATGTTGTGGTAGGGCAGCTGGGAAAGTGCTGCCCTCTGCTGTGTGAACCGCAGGTCACCGGAATTCGGAGGTAGGTCTGTGATATCCGCCTCTGTGGGTCGTTGTCTAACACGGAGGGTCGCACTGCTCCGCGAGCGTTCCGAGTGGTCTCTTGACGTGACGATGATAGCGCAATTGAGATGAAATTGGGGTAAAACGATTTTTTTTGTTTCAAGATGCAGGCAGCAGGGAGTTGTGGGTAGAGAATTGACACGCGACGAACGGTTCACTTGGAGCAGCGCGCAACGCAGGAAACAACACAGCTGGAGTCGTGTGGAGAGCTCCCCACAAAGTAGACACGGTGGCCTTGGCCTTTCTCTGATACGAGGCTTCGTGATTGAGAACAAGAAATATAAAAAACTCATGGTCAGGCATGGTGAAAAACTGCCAAGAAAATTAAACTAAAAACGTGGTGACGGTGTTTGTGACGGTGTTTGTGACGGTTTTTGTGACGGTTTTGGTGACGGTTTTTGTGACGGTTTTTGTGACGGTTTTGGTGACGGTTTTTGTGACGGTTTTTGTGACGGTTTTGGTGTTGGTGACGGTAACGTGTCGGCAATGGCCACGGTGTCGGCTGCGCGATTCCGCGCCCGCGTGACGCAAGCGTCGGTTCGACCGCCTGCGCACAGGTCCGGGCGCAGGCCCAAGCCCACGGCGTTCTACAGCACCGGCTCGGCGGGACCCGGCGGCGACACGCCGGTCAAGGAAGGGGGGGGGGCGGCCAAGCGGCCGCGGCGACGCGAGGCCCAAGACCCCGCGGCCCCAGTGAGGCCCAAGCCGAGGCCTAGCACGTGTGCACGGAAGCCGCCGCTGCCGCCGATGAGGCCTCCTCGTCGGGACGCGACGGTGAGGGGCGGCGACGGCCATCGGCCGGACCGTCGCGTCAGCGGAGTCGGGGGTGGAGGGGGGATTAATTTCTCACTAAAATATCTTTTTGGGTCACTAAACTAAGCCGTTTTTATTTTAGTAGGTTTTGCCCACTAAGCGACCTGGCCACGATAGCTCAACGAAGCGGCTTTTCATGTGCAGTTCATAGCAGCAGCCAAATGCTCTAAACGCATATCTATACGTGGAGGGAAATTCCAAATATACAGGAGTCTGGATCAGGATCGAACCCACGACCTCCTGCATACTAGGCGAGGTAGTTAAGATCTTGCCACTGTGACACCCCTGATATCCGCTTCTCCAATACAGTGTGAATGTGTTGGCTTGCACAAGTGTGCCCAGAGAAAAATATACATCAGATTCAGCATCGAAACCCACGACCTCCTGTATACCAGGCGAGGTAGTTAACATCTCGCCACCCGCGCAGCCACAGTGACGCGTGCCTCTCCTCGGCAGGACAAGGCGACGGTGCTGGCAACTCGCGGCCGGGGGGGCCTGGTGACTCTGCGTGCCGTGCTCCCTCCCGAGGAGGAGGAGGAGGGGCGGGGTGGGGGGGACCGCGCCAGCGAGCGGCGCCACCGCGCCAGCTGTCTTGCGGCGGCGGCGGCGACGCCGGCACCCCCCGTGAGGCCGGAGCACATGAGCTGCGCGCCAGCGTTCGTGCCGGTGTGCCTGCGTTCCCCCGAGCCGCAGCCGCTCACGGAGCACATGGAGGAGGTATGGCTGGGCGGGGCGGGGGGGGGGGTGAACGGAGAAATGCTGCGTGTGGGCGAAGTGGGCAGAAGCCGGTCGCTCTGGCCGAAGTGAATCGGTGGCGACATGAAGCGGACACTCGCGGACGGTTTAATTGGGGAAAAAAATCGCGGCAGAAATGTTTGCGTGAGCAGTTGATGAAGAGCGTCGAGGTGATCGCGTTGATGGTGGCGGCGACGACGATGACGAAGGACAATGGTAGCGGCGACAATGGTAACGATGATCGCGATTGACGCCGATGACGACGGTCATCATTTGCGACTTGACATTGTGGCTCACACGAATGTAAAACGAATCCCGAGGCGCCGATGGAACCGGCGATTACTCCGCACCGTTCCCGAGACGGCCAATAGCATCGCGTGCTCGGCAGCATCCAATAAACCGATGCGGGGGGGCGGGGTGGGGGGGGCGGCAGCAGCCCACGCGTGAGCTGCTGACGAAGCGTTCTCTCTCAATCCGTTGGCACGACGACGGACCTCCGACAGCAGGTGGAGCTGTCGGAAGGCGACGCGATGCTGGAGGAGCTGGTAGTGACGTGCGTGGAAGAGATGGTGGTCGCCGATGACGACGATGGTCTGGAGGAGGAGGAGGCGGCGGTGGAGGAGGAGTCCGTTGACCCCGGCAGCGACGCGTGCGGTCTGCACGTCGAGCAGAACTGCAGCGTCGTGATCGTGAGTCCCACGCCTGGGGGATTTGCATGTCTGTTGAACTTCGTACGTAGCCAACCGTGATAATCGGCGGTGCTGGGTAAGGACAACAAACTAAACGCAAAAAGCAATTCTGTTTACACCATTGGAACCTCATTTGCCAGTAGAAAAATATGATAATTGTTTTTTTTCCCTTTTATGTGGCAACAAAACTGACACCTTTTTTACAAGGAGTCATGCTTGCATAGACCACAATACCTGCAGTCGTGCACCTTTTGGCGTCATCTGGTCCAACACCATGTGAGACTAGGCTCTAAGGAAAGCTGTCTAGGGTGTGGACCAATCAACTTCAAGGACAGTGCATACATTATCAGAGTTATGTTTTTTGTTTGCATTATGACTGCAGGTATTGTGGTCTATGCAAACATGACTCCTTGTAAAAAAAAGGTGTCAGTTTTGTTGCCAGATAAAAGGGTAAAAAAACAATTATTAATTCTGTTTAATTTTGTTTGTTATCAACGTCGACCAACCGCGGTTGAGATCGTTAATGCATCGGCGCTGGCCGTGCTTGGGGTCACGGTGACTCTCGCAACGATTGTCCGGTGTGAATGAAATTCTCTAGTAGTGGTCGTGCTGCTGTCAGGGACTTGTTGAATTGACAACTGGCCCACGGTGGCTATGAGATGTTAATTACCTTGCCTGGTATGCAAGAGGTTGTGGGTTCAATCCCGACCCTGATGTCTGCTGTCTATTTGGGAGTTTGCATGTTCTCGCCACAGTCGCGTGGATTTTTCTCCGGGTCCTCCAGTTTTTCTCTCCGCATTTAGAAACGAGCTAAGCAGGCTTGAGCCTGGATGACCTAACCACCACGCATCAGTGAACCAAAGCGGCTGTCATTCAAATTGACGAAACGCCAGCAAGGAACACCACGAATGAAACGTGGTTGATCTATTGACATGCTTTTTGTTTGTGTTCTTTTTCTCTTTCTAGACTGACGACGAACACTTGAGGGTTAATGGTGAGTTCTGCATTGCATTGGTGACCTCAAAGTGTTGCGTGTGCGATCGTGTGTAATCCGTACAATGTCGTGCGTTTGTGTCGATGACACCGATCATCGTACCTTAATATAATTTATTCTTGTCTACATTGTGATGAATCGCATATGTGCAAGAATCTCACCTCCTTAAACGCGTAAATGTCCTCACTAATAAACGAAACACTCTTCCTCCCCCCACGCGCTGCTGTCAACCGCAGAAGCGTTCGTGTACGAGATGATGGAGCAGGCGGGCTTCGGGAGCATGCAGGACGCCTACGTGTCCTCGCAGGAGGGCGACGGGGGTGGCAGCGCTCCCACAATGCTTTGCTTCATGATGTGCGAGGGCGGGGAGACTGACGCAGCGTTCCAGCTGGCCGGGGGGGACGGTGGTGACGCCGCGGGGGCGGCACCGGAGGTTGAGCACCTCTCGCTCGCCGCGGTGGCGGACGATCAGGAGGGCCAGGAAACCTCCACGGAGACGAACAACGCGAAGAGGTGACGGCTTTGCGCGCTTTTTGTTTTTGCGTCACGTGCAGCTCTCGTGAGTAGGCGCCACTCGTATCGATCGCTGAGACCTGTCCAAAGCGACAACTCCTTTGCTTTTAAACGGAGGGTAATTTAACACTTTTGCTGCTTTACAAACGGACATGCGCAGAACCGACGACCGCCACGCGTCCACCACCGTTGCGACGCCGCGGCGCGCCATCTTGTTTTTTGACCCCCATCGTAACGGCGGCGGGCTCGTTGTTGTCGCTGTGCGCAGCGCGGCGATGGAGGGCGGCGGCGTTCCGCCCGGCGACTGGGAGGGGGCGGCACCCACCATCTCGGATGGTCACATGACCTCGTGGGCAGCACCAGTGGGCGCGCCGAGCCCCGAGTGGCCTCTCGCCGCCGCCGCCGAGGCCGCGCCGGGCTCGCCGGAAACACCGGACGTCTTGCCGAGGGAGGCCCCGAGCGGCGCGAGCGGCGACCTCCTGACCCCCGAGTCGGGCCTCGACACCGTCGAAGAGGAGGGGGGTTCGGTCGCCGAGCCGGCCGAACCAACGGTTCCAACCGTGCCGGTGTCAGTTTTAACTGAGGCGGCCGGCTCTGGGGTCGCGGTTGACGACGGTGGCCAGGCCGATCCGGTGCAACTGCCGGCAACCGCGATCGCCGGCGATGCAGGCACGGTACCGCGGCCCAGGAGGCCTCGTTCCGACGTGGCAGACGGCCCCCCGGCGAAACGGCACGCCGCGGACACCACGCCGGGCCCGCCGGAAGCTCCAGACGTCCCGTCGAGAGAACCCGCGAGCGACTCCGACGAACTGACCCTTGAGTTGGGCCGCGGCACCGGCAAAGACGAGGCGCCGGTCGCAGAATCGGCCGACCCCGTCGTCTCGCCGGCGCCGCCCGGTTCGACCGAGGCGCCGGCTGCCGACGACGACGGACGGTCCGATTCGGCGCGACCGCAGCCGACTCGGAGCGCCGGCGATGCCAAGAAGGGCGGCGCCGACGTGACGCCGCCGGCCAGGAGGGCGCGCTTCGCCAAGCCCAGGCCGAACCTCGCCGCGTGCAGCGCGCGCCGGCCGGCGGGGTCGGCCGGCACGGCTAAGCCGGCGCAGGTCGGCCCGCTGGGAGCGGTGAAGTGAATCCGGCGCGTGGACAAAGTCGATGCAGATGAGTGTCGGCGATTAGCGAGCCGCCTCGCCGTCGGGAGCCGTGGTAAATGATTCGTCGGCGTTAATCGGCGTACGAATGACGTTCGTAGTCGTGTTGGAAGGGAACGGCATATGTGCCCGGGAGGGAGGGACGCGCGCCGCGGAGATGGAGCGATGAGATCGGCTCTCGTGCGAGAGTTTGATGGAATGTTGTAGCGCGGGAGCCGACGATCAGCCCCTTTGTGAATCTACTGCTGGATGAAATTCCAAGGTGCCATATCGTTGCTTGCACGGAGACGACAGATGAGCAAATTTGGACGAAGTTCCATCTGTTTCCATCTGTGTCGGTCTTAAATACTCTGGCTGTCGCCTGATGATGCCGGTTGTAATTACCGGCGAAACGTCGTACTCGAATTGTGAATGTTGTGGATTTGCTCTCCAACACACCGGCGTGCTGAACTAGTAACGAATTGCCACGTTTTGTTTACGTGACAAACCTCTTAGGGATAATTTTTAGGGATAGAGCGTTGCGTTTTTTCTCTGGGCGCTCCGGTTTCCTCCTTTACATGCATCGGCACTCATTAAATGGCTGAAAACAACTCGATACGTAGAGGACCGCAGAGTCGTTCTCTCTGTAAAAAAAAAAATATTAAATGTAAAATAAGCACCGTTTCTTTACTCATTATTTACTTACCTTTATTGCGCTATTGGTTGCTGCGCGGTTTCAATTTTGCTCTGCTCAGTCAGTGTTAAGCCGCTGAGGTCGTGACGGGTATTTTTTTTCATTCCTCTTGCTCCCCCGGTGCCATTCCATTGCAACATGCACCGACGCCTTACTTTATTGAGGGCGACATTGGCAATGAAGTACAGATTGATTTATTGACCTCAACTCGGGAGCGAGTACGATTTGAAACAATCATTATGATTGTTAAACGTCGGGTGATTCTGCGTGTGCAGAGACACTGGTGCCCAGGAGGGGATCGGCGGAGTGGCTTCTTCTCAGTCGGCATCGTGACTGAGGTCTGAGCCGGCTCGGCTAGCGGAGGCGCCGGCGGCGCCGGGGGGCTGGGCGGGAAGGCCGGGCCCGGCGGAGTAGAGAGAGACGCGATCGTGAACCTCGCGTTCTCATGCCACTCTCGTCAACACACACAGGCACACACGCGCACGCGTGTACGGCCGCGCTAACGACGGCGAGCGGACTTTAAATTGTCGGTGCGCAGCTCGTGTTTGTGTTTTTTTCCTTCACCACGCATTCTTTTTTTTTACGATAATTTTCACCGAACGTGTACCCCGCCCTTTGCCGTCGCGGCGTCGTCAGATGGATGCGGCGACCGCTCAGAGGTCTCGCGGTGGAGGAGAAAAAAACGTCGCCGAACTACTTCTGAAGGTCCCCTTGACATTTCGTCGTATCCACGCCTGCGTCGGTGCGCCTACTCGCACGCTCTGCCCCGGACGTGTTTGTCACGCGGCAAACCGGAAATGCCGTGAATCCTCGTAATATCTGGAAATACGCCAAAATAAGTGAAAACCAAACCGCGGTGCGCGTGTATAAATGTGTTTGTGTCGGTAACCGGGCTGAGACCATCGGCTCTCCGCGACGTCTCCGTCTTGAAGCCCGAACTAGAGCCCAGGATCCTCGGCGGTGCCGGCTACGTGTCCGTGACGCGCGATGACGGCGGTGAGCCGCCGACCGCCTCCAACCGCATTCATCTCCCCGCGAACACGATTGATCAATTGCGTTTGCCGTGGTGTGTACCAACGTGCGCGCCAGGTCGCCCCGTGTGGATGCAGGACTACGTGTGCGGGTGGTTGGCATGAGAGGGCAGTACCAGCAGAATCCATATTTATACCGTACTTCTATGCTCCCCTCCCGATCCCCCCACTGCCTGCGGCACACACTGACCAGCATAGTGAAGTCTGGTCAAACGACTCCCAGGACCTGTACCCCCGTCCGACATGAACTGTCCGTGTGCACGCGTGTCCATGTGCACGCCGTGTACGTGTGTCGCACGCACAATCATTTGGCTCATCGAAGCCCTCCCGTGTGACAGACGAAGTGAGCTTCAAGAGAAGCGTTTTTTGAGGAGTTGTGAGTTTGTTGTCCCAGAATTTTATTGTAGACACATTGACATTATCGAGAAAAACAAAACATTGTATTTATAAAGTCTCTGCGCGTCTCTCCCACCAATCTCAACGCAGTTCGGGCCACGGCTGAATTCAGTACCACAGGTGTTTGCAAATTAATTTGACGGATGGGCTATTGCATAATTCTTGTCCATTGGCGATTTAAAGTTGAGTCTTTTTTTTGGTAGCGAAAGGTTAAATATTTGGCCTGGCCTCGGACTAAGTTATTAAATCTTCTAACTCTCTCCCCCTGTAAGACCGGGCTGGAGCCATCGCATCCAAAATATTCAGCCGCATGTTGGGAAGTCTCCGAGTTGCATTATAAATCAGTGGGGCATCTGGAAGTTACCACATTTTATTGGAGTCGTTTCCAGTGTGTTCAGGAAAGCCTCGAGTGAGTCTCATGAATTTCAAGAGGGGGGTCTTACTATTGTAACGTTGGGCCAATTCCTTGTTTAGTATTTTAGTTTTTCACCTTGCACCAAAAAATAACTTGGGAAGAGCAGTCGGCCGGTGGGTTATCAAACCGCGCGACGAACTCGGTGAGCCGCAGTTGGATTTCCGGCCACGGCTAACGTCACCAGGCCTCGGCTTACTCCCCGCTCCCCCCACCCCCGCACAAACCAGCGTGGTGAAGTATGATCAAGCAACCACCTCAGCTGACGCGGCGTAGGGAGGTCTTCATCCAGCATTGATTTTACAAAGGCTTGGAAGTTGTATATTATTGCTATCTTACGCGAATTATAAGAAGAAAAATAATCATTTCAGGCTGCACCAAGGAAGGGGAGGTTTGGAGACCGATCCAGTGATGATTCCGACAGTGTTTTTCGTTTTGTAAAACCTTTTTAATTTATTGTCGCTTACGTTATTTAATTCGACGTTGAGTAGCTGCCGTGTCGCGGTGCTGACCGATGTTTGTTGTTCCTGGCGCCGCCTGTCCCAATCTTCGCGCTCTCATCACCGCGCCCCGTGCCGTCTTGTGGCTGCTGAAGGGAAGACGCGAGAACTCGCGGCTCTGTTTGCCACCGTAAAACACGAGCCGTGCCGCCTACGTCGGGACTGTCTGAACGGACATTGCGTCAGTCCGTGGGCCAGAGGTCGCAAACGGGTTTTGATTCCTTACCCGTACCCGGCCACACCAGGGTCGCAAACGGCTACCCGTACCCGTACCCGGCCGGGTACGGGTAGTTGGGTATCGGGTAGGGTACGGGTATCGGGTACCCGGTTGCGACCTCTGCTGTGGGCTGAATAACAGTGTACAATGGAGAGTTTTTAACCCCCCCCCCCGCATCTGGCCCTGCTTGGCCCCAGACCAGATTGCATGCGTCTTGCGAAGCCCCCTCCTCCCCCCAGCGTATGACGCTTTGGTGCTGGCTTGAAAAATGAAATTAAAATGAATAAAAATAAAATAATCATAATAAAATTAACTTATAAATTTTAATTTCATTTTTTACCTACGTGACTTTACCGAAAAACCTAAGAGTGAATCCTTGCAGTCACGAAAGCTTCAAATCTAGTGGAAAACCACCCGTACCACGAGGGGCGGGCCCCCCTCTTTGGCTCCGAGACCTGAGGCTACGGTGGCGTGACATCACAAGCGCGTTGTGTAGCTAGCGGTGCTGCTACGCTGGGACCCACAGGCCGGATGGGCCCCCAGAGAAATTGGACGGAGCGGGGGGGGGGGGCAGGCCTCATTTCAATTCCTTGCACGGGGGGGCCCACCTGTGTGCCCGGTTGCATGAAGGGTAAATTCATGAACCTGCGATTGTAGAAACGTGTCCACTGGCTGCCATGTTTTCCAGAGTGTTGCTGGATAATCGAGAAGAAAAAATCGCTTGGCACGCGCTGTGTTTGTTGTTCGGCATGATGTCTGACGTTTCGCTGCCGCAACCGCGTCCCTGAAGATCCTCTCGATGCGCGGCTTGACCCGAACGCGCTCCAGCGAACCACGTAGCACAACCGTCAAATAGTTGTCAAAAGAGTAAATCGCTTGATTCGATTGAGAAAATAACCACTGGAGTTTTTAGATCCAACACTTGATTAATCCGGCATTAAAACAAGCTTATTTTGTTGCGTTGACTTGAGTATTATGCACGTTTTGATTGTGTGTTTTTAAATTTGCGGTGCCATTCGTGGAGATGTGCGCTATGAACTTATTTAAACAAATTTTTATGCTGCCACTAATGTTAAAGCACCGGACCTCTTAACAATGGAGATTTTACAGATGTTTGAGAAACGTCAGCTCCGAAGCTACGCTCGGGATTTATCAAACAAACCTTTGTATGTTTTTGTACAAAAGAATACGTAATATGTACAGCGCAAATCAAAAGTGCTCACTGCCTATGTTAATAAATCTTGCTTGCAATGTTTACATTCTCGCTGTGACGTGACTTAAGGCTGTACGGATCATCGTAGTGCAATGTAACGGTTTTTCCATTATCAAGCCACCGCTGGATGATGGCCTTCCAAATGCCATTTGGTTGACTACCTCACCCTGGCTTGTGTCGTGATTGATGGGGGGGAGGGAGGCTGCCATCGACCAATTTGTATAATCCCTTGCCCACCGACTTTTTCCATGGCTAGAAACTCAACGCAGGTCGCCGGGTTCATGCCGCACCGGTCTCTGCGCTACTGCTCCGGCCCTGCGAGTAGCGATACCGTGTTGAGACGGCAAGATTAGTGACCAAGCCGGCATTTCAGCGCAGCGCTTCCCGGTGAGATTGTGAGAATGAGGCGTCTTCCCGGAGCCGGTGATATCTGGTTTTGTGGAAATATATCGTCGCTGCTCGTCCCAACGATTTCAGGACGATCGTCATGGTCACGTCCATGTTTATAATACGGCACCTCCCATGGCGGTGCATCCAGGCGCCCTGTAGCAGGGGCACCCCTGGTGGCAGCTGTCCCTGCGGGGCACAACATGGGCCACTCCGTCTTTTGCGTCATCTTTTTACACGCTTTTAACTCACTGTTGTTGTCGTTGTATCCTCAAATCTTGCAACTCAATTTTAACCCACTTTCCAATGGTGGTATCGACTGCAAACTTGGTATACTTATGTCATACTGATGACAATACTATATTCTATCATTAAAAAAAGAATATTTTTTTAGATGTTATGTTTCGGCTTGGGTCTAATTGTCCACGGTCAACCGACGTTGGCTGTAATTGGGCCACGGTCCCTTACGTTATGGCAAGCTTCGGGGCCACTTCCTAGAGTTCTGCCATTACTAGTACATTTCATAAAAGCGTGTTTAAAATTTTTTTTTTAAATATTACTTTTTAAACATACGCTGTGAAGCAGATGTGCCGCATTTCATAGTTTGATACGCCCAGTCTTCGTCTGGGATCCCTTCGTAGTCGAGTGATTTCCCTCCAGGTGTCACTTGTCTGTGTTGTGAGGTGGACCTGGCTGGCCATGGGTCTGGAGATGGCTGAAGAGGCCACCACGTGACCTGCAGATCTTGGCACAGTGGGGGCACCAGGATGGTCCATCCTGAAGGTCCCACTCGTCCTTGTCTCTGTCTCTGGTGTGTGTGTGTGTGTGCTTTACACTCTGGTTCTTTCGGTAAAGTCACGTAGATAGAAAAAATAATAAAAGAAAACACGACGTTTCGGTCGCAACACAAGCGTCCGTCTTCAGGTGAGAAAATCATCTGCTGTTGTGGCTTTATATAGACACGGGAGAGGGGGGGGGGGGGTTTGTAGAGTCGTGGCTGTCGGGAGTTTACGGGGGAGAGGGGGGAGGGTTTGTGGCGTGCAGGGAAGAGTGGGGCTGGAGAAATCGGCAGGTAAAGGAGCTCCAATTAGCACAACAAGTTTTGTCCAACCAGAGAGGATGGCTTCCTGCAGTCGCGAAAGCTTCAAATCAAGACGATGTGCTTTGCGGCGTGCTCTTTTCCTGGCCATCAACTCTCTTTGCTCGACCTCAAAATGCTGAGTTCCATTGTTTATTTTGTCCCTCCATGATGGTCTATCAAGAGCATAGATTTCCCGGTTGTTTGAATCTACGCGACTTCGCTTGAGGTGCATTTTAAGGTTGTCACGGAAACTCTTCCACAGTATTAATCAGGGTGCCCACTGGGCTTGAACCGTGAACCTCTGCAATTAGCGTTGAGGGTCAGACACCCGCCCCTAAAAAGATGCTGCACAGCAACCGCGAGCGGGAATGGATTCCACTGTCATTACAGACACAACTCGAAAGACACCATCCACAGACTATGTAATTAATTTATTTCCAAATAATTCGATAAACATTTATACAGATCATTCATAGTATTAACGTTAAATAGGACGCGACACAATAACTAGTAATCCTCTTTAATTTCCCAGACACACGTATGTGCTTGCAAAAAAAAACGGTGGAAAAAAAGTTTGGTCTTAAATTTTTTGGTGGTGGGGGGGGAGAATGGGGGGGTGGGGGGCGATGACCAGGAAATTGGTACCATGAGCAGCCACGGGGAAATCGGAGACATCCGTCCTCTGGAACGCTGCGGCAGAGGTCGCAAACGGGTTTTGATTCCTTACCCGTACCCGGCCGCACCAGGGTCGTAAACGGGTACCCGTACCCGGCCGTACCCGTACCCTACCCGTACCCGGCCGGGTATCGGGTAGGGTACGGGTATCGGGTACCCGGTTGCGACCTCTGCGCTGCAGTTCGAGCAACTTTGGTGAAGCGCCGGGAGGCGTTAAGATTCTCTTCAAGGGGGCCACCCAGGGTCATCTGCACCCAGAGTCGGGTGCAGATGACCGCCGGTGGGATGGGTGGACAATTGACCAGGCTCGACTCGATCCTGGTTATAACTTAGTCCCTCAACCTCACACCCCCAGACCACAGAGATAAAGTCTGGTCACGCAAGACGCCCAGGGGCCCAATCGGTAGAATTTCCGACGAACTTTACACCGGAGTAATGTTGAACGCGTCACGTGAAGGGGCGTTTCACGCGGACCCGGTCCCACTCTTGTTGAGATTCACATTTGCAATCAGGATACTTGGTTTTGTTCAACTCATCGGCCTCCAATACAAGGAATGAAATGGGCACAATCCCCCCCGCCCAACCCCCCGTCCCATCCTAATCCCTCTCTTCAGAGCCTGGCACAATCAACAGCTATGCCGCTGGTTCGATGGGACTGAAAAATGCTTGCAAGCGTTCCTTACGACTGAACCAGCTTGCCCCGTAGATTTTTTTTTTTACTTGAGAATTTGATTCACTTTCGTGTTATTCTCTAAAACAATGTGTTCCGTGCGGTTTCAGACTTGAATCGACTCAAGACATGGGCGCATTGGTGGGTAAAAGTTACTTGGGTTGCATGTGAAGTACAAGGAAGGTGCACTTGGGGTGTGCGTCATCACAACACAAAGCACGCACTAGAGATTTCGGGGTGGGACAATCCCATAAATCCGTCGCGACACCCAATTCAGCGAAGCGACTCGGCTGACATTTACAGCTGCCTCTAGTGGGACGCAGATCCAATAATCACACGATCCAAAATACGACATCCATTCTGCCACGCGTGATCCGTAGATGCCCATGTGTCCTCGTGAACCTTAGTGCTCGATACTAACCGAGGCACGAATAACGTTGCTGCCACCCCCACTAACACGGTTAGTTAAACGACGACGACCGTGCATGCATACGTTATTACAGCAGCAGCAGCAGGAAGCAGATGATTATTATTGCCTTAGAGGTTGGCTTCTGGAATAATCACTTTTCGGAGCCACACATGGAGCCACATAAGCCAGAGAGCCAGAATTGTACGATCTCCGCATTCTGCTCTAGAGTCCAGGGATTCATTTTGGCCGCATCTGCCCCCAAGTCGAAGACCCCGGAAAATATTTCCACACCCGGCACACCACATCCAGTACACACCTTCGGCTGCGGATTGTGGCGAATACCAAGTCAAGCGCCACCTCCTCCGGTCTTACCAGCGGACCCAGGAAATAGTGAAATATTCAGTTCTGGGCGGTGTCCCACCGCGTCGTTACAGCCGAGGTTAACAATAAAAGGTAATTATCATTATCGTCGTATTATTCAAGGAATTTATCGCAAGACAAGAACCAACTGACAAACGATTGTGAAGCGGCGAAGTTAAAGAACACGCGCTGGAACCTCGACAACCCCACTCCACAACGACCCACGTGCCGAGACTTCCGAAAATGTTCCGAAGCGGGAAGACAAAGAGTTAAAAACCCACCGCGGGGATGATCGCAGTCGTGCTGCTCGGCTCTCCGATGTGCTTTGTCATTCGTCACAATCTTCTTGGTTCTTTCGGTAAAGTCACGTAGAAGGGAAGTAATAAAATAATAAAACATAAAATAATTCTCACGACGTTTCCGCCACAACGCAAGCAACCGTCCTCAGGCGAAGACCAGGTCTGTCGAGACGCTGTCGCCTTCGACAGACCTGGTTTGCGTTGTGGCCGAAACGTCGTTTTATTTTTATTATTTTATTACTTCCCTTCTACGTGACTTTACCGAAAGAACCAAGAAGATGAATCCCTGCAGTCACGAAAGCTTTAAATCGAAATTTTATTATGTTTTATTTTTATTATTTTATTATTTCCCTTCCACGTGACTTTACCGAAAGAACCAAGAAGATGAATCCCTGCAGTCACGAAAGCTTTAAATCGAAATTCGGCACAATGTCCGACGTTTCGCCACCAAGCGCTCCCGTCGGATACCACGCCGAACACCAGAAACACGCACTGCCCAACAACTCGCCCTCCGCTCAAGACAGCGTGGCCGGCAGCAACAGATATTTTGGCCATTGCTGGTACCTGCAGACGGATGCCATGGGGGGGGGCCCCCGAGTTTACCTCGATACGACGGACAGGGCAAGGAGAATCAGGGGTGGGGTGGGGTGTGGCGGGAGGGTGTCAGGTGCTTGGTGGAGGGTGCGGAGGGTTTGGGGGGGGATGGTACCGAAGGCAAGGGTTTACCCCCTCGTGGAGGGGCCGCAGGGCGATTGTGGAGCAGTCGAGGAGGTTCGTATGGGGAGCGTTGAGGTGCCGCCACCTAGCTCCTGGCTGCCACGATGATGGAGACGATGATGCTTCCCAGCGCGATTGTGGCCGCTCCGAAAACCCACTTCCAGGGGAGGCCCTACACGCACGGCGCCACGGGTGAGCGCGCACGTACACACGTACGCACGTACGCACGTACACACGTACACACGCATGGCGCCACAGGTGAGCACGCACATACACACGTACACATGTACACACGCACGGCGCCACGACGACGCAGGTGAGCACGCATGTACACACGTACGTACACACGTACGCACGTACCCACGCACGTACACACGTACATACACACGTACGTACACACGCACGTACACACGCACGTACACACGCGGACAAATACGAGAGAGACAAAGCACCCCCACATAGCCGACACCGGCTGTTGGGGAAAGTGCCGTGCGCGAGCGTCCATGAAGGCCGGCACTGTGCCACATGTTGGGAGTGGGTGGCCAGCGCCACGCCTGGCCGCCTTTGTCTCCCAAACGCTGATGTTGACACACAGCACCAGGTGGTCATTTAACAAGGGGGGGGTGGGCACGAGCTTTATTCCCACTCGCGGCCAACAAATATCGGTTTCTGAGCCTCCCTTAAGCCAACTCGGCCTCAAATGAGTACCTGGTGCGGTGTGTAAACATCGCCGGGCATGGTGCTGGCCACCAAACCCCCTCGCGTGTACCGCTAACGGCACTTGCCCCAACAGTCTGTTCAGGCTATACGGTGGATCTTTGTCTTCGTGCAAGTCTCGCTAAGTTTCACCCTCCCATCCCCCCTATCACCTGCGTTGCCGTGGCGACTGCAGGTAACGGGCTGCTCAAGAAGCAGGTGCTCAGGGAGGGGAAGGGAGACGAGTCGCGGCCGCGACGGCGACAGGAAATCACGATGCGGGTGAAGAGCATGCTGGGAGACGGCACAGTGGTGGATGATTGTTTTACGAGCGTGCGCGGGTGCTCACCCAGGAGCCCGGCTTCCCGCGCTCCGCATCGTCGGCAGGCACGGCCATGTTGCCCAGCATCTTCTTGTACAGCGTCTTTTCTTCGGCCTGCTGCTCGCTGCGCTGCCTCCTGAGCTTGTGCAGCTCTGCCTGGATCGTCTGTCGCGAGGATCACGCAACGGCAGCGGTGGTGAGACGCCAGAGGGGCGCGTGTCCCAGCTCTTCGCGGTCGTGGCTGGGAATCTATTTTTACAACTATAAATTAAAGTCGTACTCTTTGGTTCTTTCGGGAAAGTCACATAGGTAAAAATAAATAATACAAGTAATAGAAATAATAACGACGTTTCGGAAGCAACACAAGTCTCCGTCATCAGGTGGGACCGTCACAGCCAGATTTACTGTATCAAGTGAGGCAAAATTCCAAGAGACAAGCTCTTAAATACAAGTTAAGGTGGGGGGGGGGGGAGGGGCTTATCTGAATCTGGTAGCCAATGGTTAATGCCGTGCGTGAGTTCAACGAAAAATGCCGCGCGCAGTCTGCTCCACAGTGGACGATGCGAGAGATCCCGAGACGCCTCATTACATAGAGGGATCAATAAGTGCTCTATTGTGAGCGAGCAGAGATTCCTGCTTGTCACTGGTCTTCCACGAGGATGGTGCAGAGTCTGCGTGGGAGGTGAGGAACGCGGATGTGATGCGAGTGACGTCGCGTTTCTCCGCAGGCACCTTGTTCGACGGCTCAAGCTTGAGGGCCCTCCTGAGCGTGTCTGCGGCCTGCGAGAACTCCCCTTGCAGTGCCAAAACCTGTCCATTGTGACACACGGAGTGGGGATGGGGCAGAGGTCGCAAACGGGTTATTATTCCTTACCCGTACCCGGCCGCACCAGGGTCGCAAACGGGTACCCGTACCCGGCCGTACCCGTATCCTACCCGTACCCGGCCGGGTACCCGTACCCGGCCGGTATCGGGTACCTGATTGCGACCTCTGGGATGAAGCCATGTTGCAGGCGCGGGTGGGTTGATTCTAGGAACTTGAATTGTGAGAAGAGACAAGACGTTGGGAAATAAGTGACAAACGGTTACTCACCAGTGGCTCACGGCCTACCCGTACCCAGCCGCACCAGGGTCGCAAATGGGTAGCCGGGTATTGGGTAGGGTACGGGTATCGGGTACCCGGTTGCGACCTCTGGGATGGTGGGGGGGGCACGGGTAAGTGTTGGCCACAGAGGCACTCCCACCCAGGCTGGGGAGCGAGAGGGTGAGCGATGGATCGGACGGACGGATGGACGAGCGTGCAAAGAATCGAGCGGGAGAGTAAACTAATGGACAATTTAGTGGCTGGTTAAGTGAGCGAGTAGGCAGGGGAGTGAGCCAATGAGAAAGTGAGCAAAAAAAATTAGCGAGCAAGAGAGCGAGCGGTAGGCAAGTAAGCGTTCAGTCTCCCGATTAGCACGGTTGGCTAGGTACAGCGCGAAAGAAGTTCAACGTACATACTGCACATAGACTAACACTACACATAGACTCAACACTGCCCATAGACTAATACTACACATAGACTAATACTACACATAGACTAATACTGCACATAGACTCAACACTACACATAGACTAACACTACACATAGACTAATACTACACATAGACTAATACTGCACATAGACTCAACACTACACATAGACTAACACTACACATAGACTAACACTACACATAGACTAATACTACACATAGACTAACACTACACATAGACTAACACTACACATAGACTAATACTACACATAGACTAATACTACACAGACTAATACTGCACATAGACTCAACACTACACATAGACTAACACTACACATAGACTAACACTACACATAGACTAATACTACACATAGACTAATACTACACATAGACTAACACTACACATAGACTAACACTACCCATACTAAACACTGCCCATAGTATCAACACTGTACCTCCGAGTAGCACGGTTGGCTAGGTACGGCGTGAAAGAAGTTCAACGTACATACATACGAGAGCGTCAGGCGAGCGAGCAAATGAACGAGCAAATGAGCGAGCATCACGGGGGCAGGCGGGAGGGCGATCGGTGGGGCGAGCCTGTCCCGTCAACCCCCCCACATCCCCCCCCACTACCCCCTCCCCCCCCACTCCCCACCCACCTTGCCCTTGCGGAAGAGCGCCTTGACGCTGTCGGGCTGCAGGGCGAGCGCCGCCTCGCACGACCTCAGCGCCGCGTCGCGCTGGTCCAGGCGCAGCTGCGCGGCCGCCACGTTGTTGAGGCACTTGAGCTTGACGTCGAGCAGCGGGGAGCGGTCCTCGTCTTCGCTACTCGCCACTGCCGCATCAACGAGCGGTGGGGCGACGGCGGCGGCGAAGGGATTGTGGGTAGAGAAACGAGCGGCCGTTACGCGTCGGTCACGTTTGCGTGCACGGCCACCGAGCGGTGCAATTTAGGTATGCTCAACGCTACGTTGAAGATCGATAATGGATGGATCATGCTGATGATGATGGTTATAGAATGGATGATGATGGTCATTAAAATATGGATGATGATGATGATGGTTAGAGGATGGATGATGATTATGACGATGGATCGACGGATGATGATCATGGATGAATGACGGAATAATAAACGGATGAAGCCAACGACAATGCCGATGGATGATGATGATTATTGACGACGGAAAAACCGGCGATGAAATCGACGCTCTTTATCAAGATCCCATTTTTCTTGGTTCGTTCTTTACCGAAATAACTAAGAATCTGAATCCCTGCAGTCACGAAAGCTTTAAATCAAAATTTAGGATCCCATTTGTTTACCCAAGAAAGCCTCATCGAGTATCACAACTTTTTCAGCAAGGCCCTGCCAAGTTTTCACAGTAGGCGACGGTGAGGGGGGCGGGTGGGTGGGAGAACGGCGATCGCTCTTAGCATATCCCAACCAAATAATAACCGATGACGGATGACGACGCTAGCGTACGGTGACAAGAGTGTGGCGGCTGCGGTGCTTCACCGGAGCTCTCCGTGTCGGCGATCTTGATGGCGCGGTCGTACGAGGCGATGGCGTGCGTGTAGTCGCCGCGCTGGAAGTAGTGGTTGCCGCGCTCGCGCTTGCGGTGAGCGAGGGCGGCGCGGTCGTCGACGGGGAGGGAGCCCGCGTCCAGCGCGTCGCTCACCGCCACCAGCTCCGCCTCCATCACCAGCGTGGCGCCGCCCGGTACCGCCGGCACCCCGAGGCTGTGCGCACAGGTGCCCACAGTGGCATTGTTCGTCGTCGTCGTCAACACCGCGTGGAAATACTCGGCACAGTAGAACCCCTCTTAACGACCACCCGTTAACGACTAATCGCTTAACGACGGGCCTCCATAGAGCCCAATGTGTTGTGTATAGTGCAGTGTATAATAGTGCAGTGTATAGTAGTGCAGTGTATAGTAGTGTATAGTATAGTAGTGTATAGTAGTGCAGTGAATAGTAGTGGTGTATAGTAGTGTAGTGAATAGTAGTGCAGTGTATAGTAGTGCAGTGTATAGTAGTGTAGTGAATAGTAGTGGTGTATAGTGTATTGTAGTGTAGTGCATAGTAGTGCAGTGTATAGTGTAGTGTATAGTGTAGTGTATCGTAGTGTATAGTGTAGTGTATAGTGTAGTGTATCGTAGTGTAGTGTATAGTAGTGTATAGTCGTGTAGTGTATAGTAGTGTAGTGTATAGTAGTGTATAGTAGTGTATAGTATAGTAGTGCAGTGTATCGTAGTGTATAGTAGTGTATAGTATAGTAGTGCAGTGTATCGTAGTGCAGTGTATAGTAGTGCAGTGTATCGTAGTGCAGTGTATAGTAGTGCAGTGTATAGTAGTGCAGTGTATAGTATAGTAGTGCAGTGTATAGCAGAACCCCTCTTAACGACAACCCCTGTTTAACGACTAATGGCTTAAAGATGGGCCTCCATAAAGCCCAATGTGTTCACTTACCGACAATTCCTCCATTCAAGATGGCTTAAAGACGACCACGTGACCACCAATTTCGGCCAATCGGCGAGCTCCAAAGTGGTCTGACCAGGCCTCGGCCAATGAGCGACGTCCATTCATGAGCGTTGGGGCATTCTTTACATTCAGTGTCTACCAGTCATCTTTTTTGCCGAAGGTAAGATTTTTGTTGTAGGTACAGTAAATATGAATTAATGCATTAACCATGTATCTTTTAATATTGTGTGTTATAATGTTGGTAGTATCTTTATGTATTAATATCCATTGTTACAAAATATGAGAAAGTATTTTTTGGGTGAAAAAGGTTAACTTGCGATGCTATCGGAATAAATTCATCCTTTAACATGCATTTCCTATACTCGCTTTACGACCAAATCACTTAATGAACCGTTTCGTGGAACCAATTACTGTCATTAAGAGGGGTTCCACTGTAATTGGATGGCAACATCATCCTCAAATACAGAGAGGACGGCAGAGCTCGGGAAATTGTTAGCGGAAATTGGTAACTCGTGAGCGAGTACTGTGCGCGGGACAAGTTCCCTTGGCATCTTCGTCATCCATTCGTCCATCATCATCATCGGCGTCATTATCCGACATCGTCAGAGCACGCCGCACCATGATTTTTTATTTTTTAAACGTCCTCAATCAAGACTTGTGTCAGACGGCACTTTGCCCGTCAGATCTCTACCCACAACTCCCTGCACTCTCTTAGAGCAGTGCGACCCTCCGTGTTCGACAACAACCCACAGAAGCGGATTTCACAGAGCTACCTCCGAGTTCCCATCCAGTGACCTGCGGTTCACACAGTAGGGACGACATACTTTCCCCACCTGTTCTACGACCGAGAGTAATTGTTCGTCGCGCAAGTCAAACCGAATTTTTTTTTTTATTCTCAAACCTGTAGCCAAATTAAGAGCTGAGCAAAATTAATGTCATTGGTGACCTGGGCGTGAGATCATCCACTGACTGTATGTATGCAGAACTTCTTTCGCGCCGTACATAGGGCAAGCGTGCTACACTTGAGACCCCAGTTTTAAATCGCAGGTGGCTGTGACCTAGACTCGAACCCCGGATCTCAGCGGTACCGACTCAGCGCTCTTAGCGACAGAGCTGAGAGGTTGCAGGAGCAGCTGGTGCAGAGGTCGCAAACGGGTTTTGATTCCTTACCCGTACCCGTACCCGGCCGCACCAGGGTCGCAAACGGGTACCCTACCCGATACCCGGCTACCCGATACCCGGCCACCCGTACCCGGCCGGGTATCGGGTAGGGTACGGGTATCGGGTACCCGATTGCGACCTCTGGGATGAAGCCATGTTGCAGGCGCAGGTGGGTTGATTCTAGGAACTTGAATTGTGAGAAGAGACAAGACGTTGGGAAATGAGTGACAAACGGTGACTCACCAGTCACTCACGGCCTACCCGTACCCGTACCCGGCCGAACCAGGGTCGCAAACGGGTACCCGTACCTGGCCGGGTACGGGTAGCCGGGTATCGGGTAGGGTACGGGTATCGGGTACCCGGTTGCGACCTCTGGGCTGCTGGCACAGAGCTGTGGCTTGCCCCCCAATGCCCCCCCCCCCCCTCACCCAACACCAAGCCGCTCACCTGCCCAGTGCTCCATAGGCGTACTTGGCATCCGTCGTGATCTCGGCGACTTCCCCCAAGGCCATCAGCTCCGCACAAAGATCCAAGGCCTAAGCACAGACACACACACCCACCAAAGACAAAGACCAACAGGGATCAAAATGAGCCAACAGAAACCGTCAAAGAGTCTAAGGAACCGTCAGGGATCATCACGGACTATTCGAGACCATGTATGCATGCATGTTGAACTTCTTTCGCTCCGTACGTAGCCAACTGCGGCGCTAATCGAAAGTCCATCAGGGACCATTAAGGCCAACGAGAATCATACAGAGCCCACGAGCCATCAGGAATGATCAGAGACCATCAAATTTCATCAGGGAACCAGGTAGGGTTGGGTAGGGGTGGACGCCCTCACCTGGATGACGTCTCCATCTCCGATGGTGAAGCGCAGCGCCTCCTGCTCATCCACCACTGTGCCGTCTCCCAGCATGCTCTTCACCCGCATCGTGACTTCCTGTCGCCGCCGCGGCCGCGACTCGTCTCCCTGCCCCTCCCTGAGCACCTTCTTCTTGAGCAGCCCGTTACCTGCAGTCGCCATGGCAACGCAGGTGATAGAGGGGACGGGAGGGTGAAACTTAGCGAGACTTGCACGAAGACAAAGATCCACCGTATAGCCTGAACAGACTGTTGGGGCAACTGCTGTTAGCGAGTAGCACCTATGAAGGGTGGCACAGCTACACAAAGGGGTGGGTGGCCAGCACCACGGCCTTCATCTCCCCAGTACTCACCTTTTATACGCACTGCCCAAAGTACTTATTTAAGTCCGAGTCGAGCTAGGGGAGGCCCAGGAAGTTGGCCACGAGCGGGAATACGAACTCGGCTTTGCCGAAATAGAAGCGCAGTGTGCCAACCGCTGCACGACCGCTCTTCCAAAAGGTTAACGCGGACACAAAAAATCAGACAAAGATCCCCCGTATAGCCTGTAACAGACTGTTGGGGCAAGTTGTGTTTAAGCGAGCACCCATGGAGGCCAGAACGGTACACGAGGGGGTCGGTGACCAGCACCACGCCCAGCTGCCTTCGTCTCCCTAGTGGCAATGTTTACACATCGCACCAGGTACTCATTTGAGACCGAGTCGACCTAAGGGAGGCCCAGGACCGGTTCAAAATATTGTCACTGGTGTTGGCCGTGAGTGGGAATCGAACTCGGGCCGCTAGGTTCGTAGGGCAGCGCGCTAACCGCTGCACCACCGTTCCCCACCCACGCACACACATGCCAGCTCGGCACTCCGACTCCCACACCACCCGGCCGTCCCCTTGCTCTCCACATGCTCGAGTGAGAGCAGTCATCCCACGTAACAGCGCTACTGCCTCGGCTTAGCAGTAACCGGCCCTCCCCCCGCCCCACCCTGACCTTTATTTTAGCCGGGTCTGTCCGTGTCAACCAGCCAGAAAATCATTCTGTGCACCGCGCACACAACATCCGGGACATCTCTCGCTACGTGTCACGTGCTGCCCACGCCAGTCCAACAGAGGAACCAGGAAAGACATTCGGCGAGAACTCGAGCCCCCCGAAACCCACCCAACACGTCCATGCACTGGTCAAGTGCGGCGGTGGCGGCGGTGGAGTCTGTGTTTCCTGCGGGATCCGGTCTGGGCCCTGGGACTTGGCCGGAATCTCCAGCTTTACCATCTCCGTCTTCGTGGGATGGCGGCGTTTCTCTGCCGCTAGCCTGGGTCACACACACACACGCACGTGGACATAGGTTCGTACATTACGCATTCATAATGGATATAGGTTCACATGTAGACAAATATCCCCACCAGAGCCTTTAACATTCAGGGCAAGTGATAATATTGAGTAGCTGTGGGGGAAGTGTGGCTAGCATCACATCCGCCTGCCTTTGTCTCCCCAGTAGTGATGTTCACACACGGCACAGGATGGGCTCAGGCATCACTTGCCGCTGGTGTTGGCCTTGGCCAGGAATAAAACTCACGTCACTGGGTTCATAATCGCGGTGCCACAACCGCTACAGTACCGCCCCCTGTAAGTCCGCGCGAACACATGCACACAGCACACATTCATTTATAAGCAGATAAGAATGTGCACATTCACACAGCAGTAACAGCCATTTGCCATTGAGGCGATGCAGACCCTGGTCCTATAGGTTGACTGAGATCACTGGCAGATGCACCACCTTTGCTCCCTACTGTGCCAACTTGCTGCGTTTTAACTGCCGAGCGCTCCGCTCGTTGTTTTGAGTGTCGCTCCTCTACCCTCCGCTGTTGTTGGGGAGCGACCGCCTCCAACTGCCCAATAGCGACTGTCAAAAGCCTCCTCCATAGAAGCTGATCTTGACATCATCGGTACCGGTCTTTGGCAAGTCCAATCAGCTCCACATCCTCCTGTACTAAATCAGCCCCTATCTTCTCTAACCTGTGCCATGCCCGTTTAGCCCCCTCTACCCGGCCTGACATGGCAACTCAGATGATTGGGTGAAGATAAGACACGCGTTCGATCTAGAAGAACTCACCAACGGCTTCGTGTCTTCGAGAGGGGGCATTCCTGCATCGTCGTCGTCATCATCGTCATCCTCCAACTCCACTCCTCGGTCGTCAGTGGGCTGAACCACCTCATCGCTGGGGTCGCGCCGTTCCTCCTCTCCCCCCGCGCATTCTACCGACTTGGACCCTTCCTGCTCCTTCTCCTCCCGACGGCCCGTGTCCTCTGCGGACGCCTGTTGCTCATCCAGGTCGAGCACATCGTGGGCGGAGACGTGGAGGAATTTCTCCTCCTCCGACGACGACGATGGTGACGATGGTGGCGATGATGACGGAGGTGATGGTGGGGACACGGTACCCTCCATTTGCTGGTTTTATCACCTGCACACGCACGCAGACGGTGGTGTAGAGAAGCTGTGGGAATCCAATATTGGAGATGGTTTTTTTCTCTTCGCAGGTGGCCGGGTGGCTCCAACCGGTTTGCTAAACTATTTTTTGGACGGAAAAAAAAGAATCGAAAAACACATTGGTTTTGATGGTTAAATAAACCCAACAGAAAATCCGTATGAGTCAACAGAAATCAATCCATATTATCATCATATTCACAGTCAAAGATGCTCATCTCCCGTGTACCGTACAGCCCTGCAGAGCCAGTGGTGGGAATTCCACAATCCTATGGCGGCGGTGCGAGGGGGAGGGAGGCGTTCCCGTCGCACAACCACCGATGAGGCACATTCATTGACAAGACGCACGCCGTCAACGGCAAAGCACGACGCATTGAAAGCGTGCGGTGGGCATCGTCGAATCATCTCCATTTTGGTGGAACAAAGCCTGCCGTTCTACACATCGTTGTGGGGAAAGGGTAAAAACCTATTACTATATTTTGCCACTGGTAAAGGAGGTCTCATAGTGTAAATGCTTACCCCGAGCTCTCAATACTCTGATAGTGCGCTGTCTTTGAGTTGTACGCCTTTTGGCGTCATCTGGTCCAACACCAATGGAGCTCTAAGAAAAGCTGTCTCGGGTGTGGACCAATCAACTTCAAGGACAGTGCATATCATTATCATCATCAGAGTTGTTTCTTTTTGCTTGCATTTTGACTGCTTGTGTTGTGGTTATTGCAAACATGATGCCTTGTATAAAGGTGTCAGTTTTTGTACCAGTTGAAAGGGTAAAAACCTATTACTATATTTTGCACTGGTAAAGGAGGTCTCATAGTATTGACAAAGTTGTTGTGGTTTAGCCTGTAAGTATTCTTTGATCACATGATCGTGAGATCCGAATGTTGACGCTTCTGACCATTTGATAGGCATCTTTTTTTACGAATATTGCTATTTTAGGGTCTGCCTTTTGTTTTTTTTTAATCACGTGATCGTGAATGTTTGCCAATACTTGTTTTTTTGTCATTTCCTATGGATTGATGAGTACGTATATTTGCATGGGTATTGCCGTTGCTATTATTAATTCTTGTTGACAAGAGTTTGATGTGACAGTGAGATTAAAGTTGCTTCGATTAAAAACAGGTTCTGAGTGCTTCTTTCCGACACTCGTGCATCAGTCATAAATGACGGAACTGTATCCTGCGGTGAGATCCGAATCCCGAGACCTGTCATAATTACACATCATTATAGTTCAAGCGAAAATCATTATTGTTCAAGCGAGAATCATTATTGTTCAAGCGAGAATCGTTGACATGATCACAATCACACATACATACCCCTAGACAACGAGAACCCATAACAGAGGTCGCAATCGGGTACCCGATACCCGTACCCTACCCGATACCCATACCCTACCCGATACCCGGCTACCCGTACCCGGCTGGGTACGGGTACCCGTTTGCGACCCTGGTGCGGCCGGGTACGGGTACGGGTAGGCCGTGAGTCACTGGTGAGTAACCGTTTGTCACTCATTTCGGGTAGGTACGGGTAGGGAATGGGTACCCGTACCCGTACTCGGCTGGGTACGGGTACCCATTTGCGACCCTGGTGCGGCCGGGTACGGGTAAGGAAACAAAACCCGTTTGCGACCTCTGGCCCATAATAATCGCACCACGTAATAACTCAAATCACAAACACATCATCACACGTAATAATCACACCCACACACATAAATAATATATTTTTTAAACACATTCTTAATTACACTTTGTATACATTTTTAGGTAATCACACTTAATTACACATTTTTACATATTTAACATAATTAACTTTCATTATTTTACGTTTCATTTAATATTTTTAAACAATATATACAACAAAGCGAGGGGGGGGGCATCACTGAGCGAGGGGGGGGCACCAAGCGAGGGGGGGCACCAAGCGAGGGGGGGGGGTCATCACTGAGGGGGGGGGGCATCACAGAGCGAGGGGGGGCATCACAGAGCGAGGGGGGGCACCAAACGAGGGGGGGCACCAAGAGAGGGGGGGTCATCAAGCGAGGGGGGGGGTCATCACTGAGGGGGGGGGGCATCACAGAGTGAAGGAGGGGGACCTCCGAGTGAGGGGGGGGGGCATCACAGAGTGAGGGGGGGGGGGCATCACAGAGTGAGGGGGCATCACAGAGTGAGGGGGGGGGCCTCCGAGTGAGGGGGGGGGCATCACAGAGCGAGGGGGCATCACAGAGTGAGGGGGGGGCCTCCGAGTGAGGGGGGGGCATCACAGAGTGAGGGGGGGGGCCTCCGAGTGAGGGGGGGGGCATCACAGAGTGAGGGGGGGGGACCTCCGAGTGAGGGGGGGGCATCACAGAGTGAGGGGGGGGACCTCCGAGTGAGGGGGGGGCATCACAGAGTGAGGGGGGGGCCTCCGAGTGAGGGGGGGGGCATCACAAAGTGAGGGGGGGGGACCTCCGAGTGAGGGGGGGTCATCACAGAACGAGGGGGGGGGCCTCCGAGTGAGGGGGGGGGGCCTCCGAGTGAGGGGGGGCATCACAGAGTGAGGGGGGGGGGCTCCGAGTGAGGGGGGGGCATCACAGAGCGAGGGGGGGGGGACCTCCGAGTGAGGGGGGGGGCATCACAGAGTGAGGGGGGGGGGCCTCCGAGTGAGGGGGGGCATCACAGAGTGAGGGGGGGGGACCTCCGAGTGAGGGGGGGGGGCATCACAGAGTGAGGGGGGGGCCTCCGAGTGAGGGGGGGGGCATCACAGAGTGAGGGGGGGGACCTCCGAGTGAGGGGGGGGGCATCACAGAGTGAGGGGGGGGGACCTCCGAGTGAGGGGGGGTCATCACAGAACGAGGGGGGGGGCCTCCGAGTGAGGGGGGGGGACCTCCGAGTGAGGGGGGGCATCACAGAGTGAGGGGGGGGGCCTCCGAGTGAGGGGGGGGCATCACAGAGCGAGGGGGGGGGACCTCCGAGTGAGGGGGGGGCATCACAGAGTGAGGGGGGGGACCTCCGAGTGAGGGGGGGCATCAACAGAGTGAGGGGGGGGACCTCGACAGTGAGGGGGGGGGACCTCCGAGTGAGGGGGGGGCATCACAGAACGAGGGGGGGCCTCCGAGTGAGGGGGGGGACCTCCGAGTGAGGGGGGGGGCATCACAGAGTGAGGGGGGGGGCTCCGAGTGAGGGGGGGGGCCATCACAGAGTGAGGGGGGGGACCTCCGAGTGAGGGGGGGCATCACAGAGTGAGGGGGCATCACAGAGTGAGGGGGGGGACCTCCGAGTGAGGGGGGGGGGCATCACAGAGTGAGGGGGGGGGCCTCCGAGTGAGGGGGGGGGCATCACAGAGTGAAGGGGGGGGACCTCGAGTGAGGGGGGGGGCATCACAGAGGGGGGGGGCCTCCGAGTGAGAGGGGGGGGGCATCACAGAGTGAGGGGGGGGCCTCCGAGTGAGGGGGGGTCATCACAGAACGAGGGGGGGGGCACCAAGCGAGGGGGGGTCATCACAGAACGAGGGGGGGTCACCAAGCGAGGGGGGGGGCATCACAGAGTGAGGGGGGGGTCACACGCGCCTTGCGCGGCCTCCGTCTCTCTCGCTCGAAGATGGCAGCGCGTGGAGGCTCAAAGAGGAGGTGACCGACCGAGGAAGACGAAGAGGAGGAGGAAGATGAGGAGGGGGGGGGGGGCTACCTGGCGCTGCTGTTAGGGGGGCCCCCCCACGCCCGACCCCGTTTCCAGAACTCTCCTCAGTCGGGGACCCCTCCACCACCTCGCCCCGCTCGCCGCGGGTCGCGTCCTTTCGACGTCACCGATCGATTCCTCCACCGCTCGAGAAATCGATGTTCGATCCGCGGTGTCGCGATTCGCTTCGTGTATCGATTCGCCACCCCACCTGCCCCCACTCTACCCCCCCCCCCTTTCGACGTCACCGATCGATTCTTCCTCCACCGCTCGCGTCGTGAATCGATGTTCGATCCGCGGTGTCGTGGATTTCGCTTCGTGTATCGATTCGCCACCCCACCTGCCCCCACTCTACCCCCCCCCCTTTCGACGTCACCGATCGATTCTTCCTCCACCGCTCGCGTCGAGAATCGATGTTCGATCCGCGGTGTCGGGATTCGGCTTCGTGTATCGATTCGCCACCCTGCCCCCACTCTACCCCCCCCCCCCACACGCCTGCCCCTCCCCCCCCGCCTGCCCCAACCCATCTGCCCTCCCCCCACCTTCTATAAGATAATCGATTCTTTGATTTAGATTCCTCAGCGCGCGCGAATCGATACGACGACACGCGCGCGCTTCGAGCGATTTATTTTTTCTGTTCAACGGGATGCCGGTAATTGTCACCGATTTTGCGTGAGGAATCGATCAAGGCGATTAATCGGCCTTCACGTAATCGATCTCGATTGATGACGTCACATCCGGCGGAACGGCCACGCCCCCCCCCAACTCACCCCCCTAGACGGAAGTGACGTCACTCGCCGCCATCGTCGTCGGTTACGTGGATCCGCAGTTGTTCGCGACGTTTCGTGTGCGTTGTTCTCTCTCGTCTCTCGCGTCTCTCTCTCTCACCGCCTCCGTCTTTGCCCCCCTCCAGCCACCTTCGGCTCGCGCTCCCCTCGTTCCTGTCGCTCGGCGCCGCGCCACGAACTCGACGACGATGACCCGTGAGTCGCGCTCGCCGCCACGATTCGAGATGGAGCGGAGGATGGGGGGCGGTTAGAAATGGTGACGCGGATGGGCGTGCTGGCCGCGCCAATCCGGACTAGGGTTTAAAATGTGTTGTTTTTAATTTTTAATTGAAGTTGTGGTGTTTTTTTTTTGTTAAGACGTGCTCCATGGCTGTTAACACATAGGTAGGGTTTTATTATAGCCCCCCCTGTATTCTTGTGCAGGCAAATAGAGTTTTTCGGGTCCATACGACGTAGAGCCGTTTCAATAGGGGCACATTTTAGAGTGTAGTGTATAGTGTAGTGTATTTTGTAGTAGCGTACCTTATGGGATCTCCTTTGCCAGTTCCAAAATATGAGAATAGGTTTTCCCCTTTTTCTAGACAATGCATATATTATCAGGAGTACGGTATTTTGCTTGCATTCTGACTACAAGTATTGTGGTTAATGCAGACATGATTCCCTTGTAAAAGGTTTCAGATTGGTGGTTTAACATCTTAACACAGCTGTTTTTGTTGCCAGAAAAAAGGGGAAAACCTATTCTCTTTAGCATAGCTGTTAACCAATATTGTTTACCCCGTATTATTGTACAGAGAATTGAGTTTTCAGGTCCATACGGAGTACAGCCGTTTCAAAAGGGCAAAAAAAATGTGTTATATATTGTTTTTGTTTGTGTTTAATCTTTATTTTAAGCTTTGTGTTTCTCTGTCCTTGCGATGGGACTTCGTAGGGGGAACGTTGAGGTTTATAAGGGGCACGGGGTGACCAATAAGGTTTGGTAGGGGCACTGATAAGGGGTTGACAGGTATGCGTGTAGGTTCATGGTTAATGGTTACAAAGTAATGGGGGATGGGGGTTAGGATTTAGGGTTGAAGTTACAATGTAGGGGGTGAGGCCGTTGGGGATATTCGTTGGTTTAGCGGTTAGGATTCCAGTTAAGGGGGTCAGCGATTAGGGTTAATGGTAAAGTTTGGCCATGGAAATCAGTGCTAAGTATTCTTTGGTTCTTTCGGTAAAGTCACGTATAAAGATAAAATAATAAATTAAATACTAGCATACGACGTTTCGATTGCAACACAAGCAATCATCATCAGGTATAATGAAATAGCGACACAAAATCTAACCAGAAAACCACAGACAGACATATAAGCAGACAGATATCACCAAGATACGTGACTTTACCGAAAGAACCAAAGAATAATTCCTGCAGTCACGAAAGCTCCAAAATTAAGATCAGTGCTAAGGTTACGGTGATGATGAAGGGCATAAGTGTTCGCGCAATGTTAAAGGGTGTAAATGTGTGTATGTTGAATTTCTTTCGCACCGTACATAGTCAACCGTGCTAATGAGATGTGCAGTGTTGAGTCTATGGGTAGTGTTGGTCTATGTGCAGTATGTATGTTGACCTTCTTTCACACCGTACGTAACCAACCGTGCTAATGAGAGGTGCAGTGTTGAGTCTATGGGTAGTGTTAGGTCTATGTGCAGTATGTATGTTGACCTTCGTTCACACCGGTACGTAGCCAACCATGTTAATCGGAGGTGCAAGTGTTGAGTCTATGGGCAGTATGTATATTGAACTTCTTTAGCACCGTACGTTGCCAGGCCGAGACGACTACTGTCCCCGCTGATTTCATGGTAAAATAAAGCTGTCGAGGTTATCAGCTGGCATTGGCTTCATCCCTAGACTCCAACCTTAATCCTAAACCAACCCTAACCCTGTTTTTTTTTGCGATTAGTTTGTTGTCCTTCCCCCGCATCAGAAGTTTTATCAGGAGTGTTGTAGGGTGCCACTGTGGCTAGGAGATGTTAACTCCCTCGCCTGGTATACAGGAGGTCGTCGGTTCGATCCAGACCCTGACGCCTGCTGCTGTATATTTGAAGTTTCCATATCCCTGTCCCCATGGTCGCGTGGATTTTTCTCCGGGTGCTCTGGTTTTTACCTCCACGTTTAGAATCAACATCACGCATTTAGGTTATTAAGCTGGGGTGCACGCACCCCCTACAACCAAAGGGGGGTTTGGCTGCAGTAAAGGTTAAGAATCACTGGTTTGGAGTATTTGGCCGCTATACATTTCCACGTGATAAGCCACTTCGTTGAGCTATCATTTGTGGCCAGGTCGCTTCTGAAAAAGAGCTACATAGCTCAGTGGGCCTTACCTGGTAAAAGAAAAAAAATAGTTTGGTAATAGTTTTGTGTGTGGAAATAAATTAGAGTAACCGGAGGTGGATCACTTAACAGTCCTCACAGATGGGTTCACAATCTCTCCTCGTCTACCTCAGGGTATTGACCACCTCGCAGCCCACTGGGTTTAGGATTTGGGTTCTTGCGTGTTGAAGGGTGGGGAGTCAGAACCGGGGAATCGAACCTAGGTCACTGAACATTTGCATATACTGTACTTTAGACAAAGTTTAAATAAAGTTTTGGCACGTACGACTTGATCATAAACGATGCACCAGATTAAATTTCGATTTAAAGCTTTCGTGACTGCAGGGATTCATCTTCTTGGTTCTTTCGGTAAAGTCACGTAGAAGATAAATAATAAAATAATAAAACATAATAAAATACAATTCTCACGACGTTTCGGCTGCTTGCGTTGTCGCCGAAACGTCGTGAGAATTGTATTTTATTAGGTTTTATTTTTATTACTTTATTATTTCCCTTCTACATGACTTTACCGAAAGAACCAAGAAGATGCACCAGATTGTTAAATGTTGTGGATTCCTCTCCCAACACACCGGTGTGGTGCTGAAGCAGTAATTGGCACGTTGTTTTGGACCGAATATTCCCTCGCAAAGACTCGCACGTACGTTTTATGTTGTCATTGTATTGATTAACAAACAAAAAATCGACTATTGAGCCGATTGATCGTTAATTTTCGATTTAAAGCTTTCGTGACTGTAGGGATTCATCTTCTTGGTTCTTTCGGTAAAGTCACGTAGAAGGGAAATAATAAAATAATAAAAATAAACCAATAAAATAATTCTCACGACGTTTCGGCCACAACGCAAGCGGCTGTCCCTTCTACGTGACTTTACCGAAAGAACCAAGAAGATGATCGTTACTTGTCAAGTAACCGTGTGTCGTCGCCCCCACCCCCAACCACCCTCAGGTGGAAACCAGCGCGAGCTCGCCCGTGCCAAGAACATGAAGAAGAATTCTGAGAAGGGCAAGAAGAAGGAAGATGGCCTCTCAGCCACCGCTCGCAAGCAGAGGTGCGCGCTCTCAGTCACTACCGCCCACTGGCCTCTCCCTCTCCCAACTACTCCCTCTCCAGCTCTCTCTCTCTCGCGTGGCGGCCTATGTGTTGATGGAGAAGGGCCATTGCCTGAAACGTCACCAATTATATACAGCGATCCCTCGTTTATCGCGGTTAATGGGGACCGGAACCCCTCGCGATAGGTGAAAATCCGCGAAGTAGGATTGGCCCCCCTAGGAATTTCCGTATATGTGTGTGTGGGTACCAGAATGTTTAAAATATGTATATTTATACTTTATATATATTTTACTTAAATCTATTTAATTATAAAACCTTAATATTATACATTCACTCTCTCTCTCATACGATACGTATTATGGTGTTCTACACTCACCAATGACAGTAGTATCTTGAGACTTGACTCCAGTAATGACGACGACGACGATGACAATGACGACGATGACAGACCTGTGCAGTTCAATGAATGTGATGATGAATGATGATGATGGTGTTACTGCACAGGTATAATGAGGCCTTTAAATCGGTTCAAAAAATCCGCGATGCACTGAGGCCGCGAAACTTGAACCGCGAAGTGGCGAGGGATTACTGTATTCAGGGACTCCTCTACTTACGAACGAGTTAGGCTCCAGAGGTCTGCTCGTAAGTCGATTTGTGTTTGTACGTCCAACTTTTTACGCCTGTCTAATCCAAACGTGTTGTTACGACGTGCACACTAAACATGGGGAATGGCTTTCAAAGTTGTATAATCTCCTGTAGGTGCCACCTGTTCTTCACGTTCTACAGATGTAGATGCCACCACCGCCATCTATTGTGTGGCGGTTGAACTTGCGTACAGACAGGTTTGTTCGTATCTCTGAAAAGTTCGTTAAGTCGGATGCTCATAAGTAGAGGAGTCCCTGTGTTTAGTATTTAACAGTTATAGGGGCAGTGTCAGCTCTGATTGAGTTAGTCGTTGCGATTGTGCTTTATTGTGTAATTGGCAACGGACGGAAATCGCAGTGTGATGTCAACTGTAATGTTCATTTTGATTTAAAGCTTTCGTGACTGCAGGGATTCATATTCTTGGTTCTTTCGGTAAAGTCACGTAGAAGGGAAATAATAAAATACTAAAAATATAAACCAATAAAAATTCTCACGACGTTTCGACTGCAACACAAGCAATCATCATCAGGTGTGGATTGCTGTGGATTTCACACCTGATGATGATTGCTTGTGTTGCAGTCGAAACGTGAGAATTTTATAGTTTTATATTTATTTTATTATTTCCCTTCTACGTGACTGTACCGAAAGAACCAAGAATATGTAATGTTCATCTTATTGCTGCTGTATTTGTAATTAGAATTGACCCCAGGTGTGTTACGGGGTTGCAATTCCGAGTCATTAATGAATTCTTTGGGCTTCGATTTTTACCCCCACGTCTGGCATCGTCATTTTTTTATCCGTTTCGGTACAGCTTTACTCGTTCCATTGTTCTAGCGAGATTCGATGCAAAGAGAACCAGTGCGTCATTGTGCACCCAATCGAGGCCTCCCACAAGGCTTTTAAAAGGCCTACCACAGCAGCTCACGAATCGCATCCATTACTCGCGTGAACCGCGGTGCCGTGTAAATGGGTGGCGCGCGCCCCCCTCGCCATCTCCGCAGGGACGCCGAGATCATGCAGCAGAAGCAGCAGAAAGCGGCGGGGGAGCCCAAGGAGAGCGGCGGCGCGGCCGGCGGGAAGGAATAACGAGCGGGGCCGAGTGATGCAGAGGGATCTCGGGGGAGAGGAAGGGGGTGGGGGTGGTGAGCGCCACGCACTAACGGGTGGCTCCACGGCGGGCCGACGCGCTCATCTCACCTGGCTGCTCCACCGCCAGTCCACCTTGAGTCATCACTCCCCCCCCCCCCCCCACTGCCATCCTCTTCCTAACTCGACACGAGACCCCGAACGATCGTCCCAGGCCCCCTAACGTGAGATTTTCGTCGGCGGGGTGTCGCCCCGTGTCCACCGCCGCCATCGTCGTGATGATGGCGAAGCCCCCCCTCCCCCCAACCCCCGCCCCCTTGGTCCACGAAAGGAGAACGCAGCCCAAGAAATAAACGGTTCTCTCGTGATGCGGTTACGTAGCCGGGGATGTGCGTCTGCCACTCATCTCGGGTTGGCCGACGTGAGCGAGCAGCTTTGTTGGCGACATCCTAACAGACCTTCGGCGTGACATTACAGAGCTCTGGTGACGTCCCTGCATTGGCATTGTATTAAGCCGCGTCACTGTGACTGTGCACAACGTAACTTTAATATCTTTTCCCCCTTTTCCATTAATGAAGATCCAGAATCGCGTCGGGCGGCCCGAGACAAGAACGGCCTAGGGCAGGCGCACGGTCAAGGCAAGAGCCGCTTGTTGTTGGGTTGCCTCTCCCTTCTGGTCAGAAATTGTCAGATGTTTAAACTCTTAGTTGCTTTTGTCTTGCGTGGAATTGTTTTACTCTTTCATTGCATCCCTCCCCTCCCCTAATCCACCCCATGAGTGTCCCCCCCTCTGGTTAGATGCATGCACACGTGGTGGAAAAGGGGGGTGGGGAAGGGGGTTAAGGCTTCTGCAATGAACACGCCCCCCCCCTTAACCCTACGCATGTGCTCCTACTACGTCTCCCACAGGAAGTACGTAGCAAAGACCCCCCCCCCCAACCCCCATGCCGGGTTAGATTCGTAAGAGTATCGAATCATTGGTCACGTCTGTGCGTGGTAGGGAGGAAAGGGGTAGTTGTAGCCACCCCCTGGTTTTGCGCTCGAGGCAGATCCGTTTTTAAAAGTCGCGCGCCCGCGCCAAAGTCAGCCCGTACAATACCGACCATTTATTTTCAGAATCGCGTTGAGGCACTGAAGAGGGTGCGTAACGAAATGCGACTAAACAAGCAACGTCTTTGTGTGCGTCATCGAAGTTGTTTGTGAGCCCACCCCATGCAACACATCTTCCATGCAGCTTCCCACCTCCTCCCCCCGCCCCCCTTGCTCTTTCACAAAAGTTGTTGCTGACCCTGCTGCCTTTCCCATTGTGTAGCCATGCTATATGCAAACTAGCGTTGTTAATCCTCTGTATCTGCAGTGCATGCCCCCCCCCCACGCTTGCGGTTTTGTTTTTAAATTTGTAGCGTGCGCGCGTGTGTAACCTTAGGATGAAGTAGCCACAGCGCCCACCCCCCACCCGGTTTTTCCTGTCTATAGCTTTATTTTCCCAATATAATGAATAAAGTTTCAAAGAATGTCTGGGCTGTTTGGCGTCCGTTTTAAATGGACTTAGAGGCAAAAGCGTGTGTGCGCGCGCGTGCTTATCGTGTACAATTCGGTGTCGACCTCCTAGTTATTTGTGTTACTGTGCAATATGATGTAGTTCAATAACAAAGATGGTCTATTCACAAATAGTTGGGGTAATGGGGAAGATCGTGAAGAATACATGTGAATCTGGTTATACAAATGCATTGTTAGCCTACATGGAATGGGTGTGACTATGTAGAACGTTCAATCAGTTTTATTGCTTCCCGAAACTTAGCGGTTCGCTGGCCACCGTGTTTGCGGTCACCACAGAGTCGCTGACCCATTCGGCGTGTGAGGAGCTGCTGATCATGAAACCAACCCACACTTAAAGATGTGTGTGTATATATTTTACTTAAAACAAAACAAGCATGTAAAGATATTTTATTTAAGAATTTTTCACACGCACACGGATAATCTTCCCACAGATATTGAACAGTTAATTGTGTACGCACATGGTGTAGATGTCAAGATTGCTGGGCCTTCCTTGTGCCACTGGAACAGTCGTGGGTTTATCTGCGATGCAGTTGCTTTGCTAGCGTAAGATTAAAGTTTCCGCATTCACTGATATCGCCTGCTCAGGGCAGAACTAGACATTGTGTGAATCATGTACAAGTCGTGTTGTTACAGACTCGTGTGGGAGAGCATGAGGATGGGAATGACGTGTCTGCTTGTGTGCGAGTGCTAATTGGGAGTGGTCGTGTTGTGGTTCGCGCCCTGCACTACACACCCAGAGACCAGATTCCGATCACCGCTCGGCCAACGTGGGTGTCAAACATCTGAACCGGTCCCAAGCCTCCCCAAGCTTGACTCTGCCTTTAAGTGAGTACCTTGGGCAGTGTCTAAACTTCAGCACTGGGGAGACAATGGTGGCCGGGGGTGGTGCTGGCCACCCACCCCATCGTTTTCCCGTGCCTGCATTAATAGGTGCTCGCTAACAGCACATCCTCCAACGATCTGTAGAGGCTATACAGGGATATGTGTGCTGTGTGCAGTGCCTGGCGAGCGATTCACAGCGGCACAATCTCGCCGACCAATCCCATTTCAATTCCCGGCCACGGCTGACATCAAGTGGCACGTGACATCTGAATCTTAGGTCAAATTTGGCCTTAACTTTGTAAGTGGTTCAGTGTGTACAAACATCAGCACTGGCCAAACAGAGGTGGCCGGGCGTGGTGCTAACTGCATCATCCCCCTTGAGCGCTGGGATGACCTTAAATAGGTGCTCGCGTAAGAGCACTTGTAGCCTGCTAAAGGCTATACAGGGGATATTTGTATTTTATGTTGGAGTTACCCGATGGGTGTGTGTGTGTGTGGGTATGTGTGGGCGCCCCCCTTACTGTATGTTCTGCATATGTGTCGATGCGCATGTGCCTATGCGAGTATGTGTGCGCACCCTCCCCCCCCCCTCACCAGCAATTAAATTGTTTAATTGCCACGATTAAATTCACAAATCGATTATTTTTTTGTCTCCACGTACTCTTGTCCGTTAAACCAAGTTATCCATTAGCACGTCGTCGTGTACGAGTATCATCGATTCTCACGAGCGATTTGATGATGCGTGTGTGGTGAACAACAATTCACTTCACGACGAACCTTTCAGTGCCCGCAAACTCTTAGTGCTCCGCTACAAAAACCACCAGCGGCCACGCGTACGACTCCAGATCCTCCTCCTCTAGTACCAGAAGGATTTGCGTGGCCGTCGTTCCTCCACGATGCCCATGGCGTCCATGATCTCCTCCTCGAAGGTCTTGAGGGACGGCGAGTAGGTGGAAGCCAATGCATTCTCCGTCGACGTGTCCTTTGGGCCGTCTGCCGGACGGATGCGGGAGGGGAGGGGGTTACTCGAAGAGCCAGTGGCCAGAGCCGGTCCTAGACCTTTGGGGGCCCTAAGCAAAATTTGGTTGGAGGCCCCTTTGATGCATGATTTTTTTTCACCCACTAGCTCGCAGTGACTCTAGGGGGCCCTCTGCTGGCCACGGGGCCCTTTGCAATTGCAAGGGTCGCTTAGTGGCTGGGCCGGCTCTGCCAGTGGCAACCGATGAATCAAAACAGCCGAGGCGACCGGGTGGCTCGGAGCGCCGGGCTTGGCACAGCTGAGAACCTGTGATTAAACCGGTGTCTTCAATTGATGGTCTAAGGCTATAGTGGAAATAAAATAAAAGGAATGGTATGGCGAAGGAGCCATTCGGCGGGAGGAAAGGTGTTCTTGACAAGGAGGAGTGAAACCGTAAAGAAAAAGACTGCCGAGCCAATGGTCTTAGAGTGTAGATATGCAGAGCGAGGATGGAGCGAGACGTTTCAAAGAGTTTGAGATGTGGGTATGTAGGCGGCTGCACAGAGTGAGCCGGACAGAAGATTAAGGAAGAAATAGAGCTGTGAGTGGTCCCAACGAAAGAAGACCGATAAAGGAAGCCATCAAGGGACGGAATAAGTGTATTGGATGCATGCTTCGAGGGGACGGGTTGATGAATAATGACATTACAAGAGGAAGAGGTGACGGTAAAAATTATGAGAGGAAGGGCCGAACGGCGGTTGTTGTTGTTAGATGGGGAAATGTTTGGGTGGGGTCAGCGGCGATGGGACTCGAACCTTTCCACTGCTCGGGGATCATGCCGTCGTCTCGCTGGTACGGCGGCAGGGGAATGATGCGTCCCGTACGCTCAGACACGCGCACCCTCTCGCCCTCGTCCGTGAAGCGCCACTCCACGTTCACCGCTTTCCTGCAGCAGCCACAGCCGCACCGGCGGCAGCGGTTACGCACGCGGAGACTGCGTCGGTTAAACTAACTTTTTATTTTAGCAGGTAAAGCCCACTGAGCTATGTAGCTCTTTTTCAGAAGCGACCTGGCCACGAATTATCGCTAAACGAAGCGGCTTGTGGGGAATTTAAACGCAGCTAAATGCTCTAAACGCACGTTTCTAAATGTGGAGGGTAAAACCGGAGGACCCGGAGAAAAATACATGCGAACATGGGGAGAGAACATGCAAACTCCAAATATACAGCAGGCACCAGGGTCGGGATCGAACCCACAACCTGTATACCACCAGGCAAGGTAGTTAACATCTCGGCGCACTGATGCATTTGCACCACCTGTACACTCATGATCGCTACGCCACTAGCCATTGGCTCTATGCCACTAATTCTAGATTTGAAGCTTTCGTGACTGCAAGTATTCATATTGTTAGGTTTTTTCGGTAAAGTCACGTAGGTAAAAAAAAATCAAAATTAATAAAAATAAAATAAAAATCACGACGTTTCGGAGGCAACACAAGCTTCCGTCTTCAGGTGGAACCGTCACAGTACGCTTGCAGTAATCAAGTAAATGAGAGATTCCAAGGGATACTACCCCGTATATATACTGGTTGAGGGGGAGGGGCCAGGACCGGCCCACTTTTATTATTATGGCAAGGTGCGGCTTGACACAACGGCTAGTCTACATAACAAAGGACCGAGCCTTTATTATGGCAAGGTGCGGCTTGACACTACGGCTAGTCTACATAACAAAGGACCGAGCCTTTGTTATGGCAAGGTGCGGCTTGACACTACGTCTAGTCTACATAACAAAGGACTGAGCCTTTATTATGGCAAGGTGCGGCTTGACACTACGGCTAGTCTACATAACAAAGGACTGAGCCTTTATTATGGCAAGGTGCGGCTTGACACTACGGCTAGTCTACATAACAAAGGACTGTTCCTTTATTATGGTAAGGTGCGGCTTGACACTACGGCTAGTCTACATAACAAAGGACTGAGCCTTTATTATGGCAAGGTGCGGCTTGACACTACGGCTAGTCTACATAACAAAGGACTGAGCCTTTGTTATGGTAAGGTGCGGCTTGACACTACGGCTAGTCAACATAACAAAGGACTGAGCCTTTATTATGGTAAGGTGCGGCTTGACACTACGGCTAGTCTACATAACAAAGGACTGAGCCTTTATTATGGTAAGGTGCGGCTTGACACTACGGCTAGTCTACATAACAAAGGAAGATCTGGCTGTGGCCGGTGAATGAGGAACGTCGAGCTGGCGAGCAACCATCTTACCGGTCTGTGGGGTCCACGAGTGCAACGTCGTTGACCAGGAGTGGCGCCTCGCTCGCCACATACATGCCGGAGAAGGTGGGTGTGCGGCCCGTGTAGCGGTAGTGCTGCGGGGCGGAACGGGGAGCAGAGAGGGGAGCGTTGGTGGTGGTGGTGGGGGCACAGAACATTCTTAGTACTTAATTCTGTGGAGGTTTATGGGTCGTGTAATACCATTGGAACCTCATTTGCCAGTAAAAAATATAATTGTTTTTTTACCCTTCTATCTGGCAACAAAACTGAACCTTTTTTTTACAAGAAGTCATGTTTGCATAGACCACAATACCTGCAGTTGTAATGCAAACAAAAAACATAACTCTGATAATGTATGCACTGTCCTTGAAGTTGATTGGTCCACACCCGAGACAGCTTTCCTTAGAGCCTAGTCTCACATGGGTTGGACCAGATGACGACAAAAGGCGCACAACTCAAAGACAATGCACCATCAGAGTATGAGAGCTCGGGGTGAAGCATTTACACCATTGGAACCTCCTTTACTTTTATTTTTAAATCCTTTATATTAAGTTCGCTTGCTTGCTTGCTTGCGTGCTTGCTTGCTTACGACCGTGCAAATCTTTCTGTCGTTTTTTAACCCACTTCCCGTGATCCAATCGAGCTGACATTTTGCACACAGACTCGTTGTGCGAGACAATTTATGTTCGTGAAAATTTTTTTCCAAAATTTTACACTGTTTAGGGAAAACAAATTAAATATTTAATTACCAATTGCTTAATACTGGAAGACAATCATCTGACCCATAGGTGGCAGCCATCTCAAGCCAGAGGACGAGAGGACTCGAGCCGCCACGCATATAAAGGATTTATAGTGAAAAACTTAGTTTTTACGGGTTATACTTGTTCTACATGCAGAGA